TGATCTGGACCTACATTAAGGGTGCTTAAAATTGAAAAGTATACATGCTTTCCCAGTTAAAACGAAAAGAAGAGCAGGGCAACCTGTGAAAATGCCATCCAGCATTTCACTGTACCCCTTTTGTCATATGCCCGAGCATTTTTTGGTTATGCTGATTCAGCAGTCTTAGATTTGGGTAAACCAATAAAATAGCTGAATGTCACGTAGGACCACACCCCAAGAAAAATCCTGTATGCAACCCTGCCTATCATGTATATATGATCCGTCTGGATGCCCAACCGTTTTCCGGATGCTCAACCGGCCAGCCTGATGCGTAACCGGACAGCGCTGCACGCGCGGAAAGAACTGCTGCTCTGCACGAGATCCAGAACAATGTCAAGGCAATCTGCAATCTCAAATGGATGGCAGGAAAGCTAGAAGACGACGGCACAAGGCTCTTCCAATCATACCTAGGCAACACATTTCCTCTGGACTCGAAGCGCACACGCAGCGCCGTGATTCGGAAGCAGATTTCATCGGCGTTCTGCGACGAGGTCAGACTCAACTGCAGAACATTTCTGGTGACGATAGAGCGAGCTAGCACAGTTACACCGCAGCACAGGCAGCAGAACACGCGGCACATATCTTCCCCCAGCGACAATGAGCGCAGCTATCCCAGTAGCTACGTGCCTTCTTGAGACGGTTGGCATTGTAACGCGGTTAGGCAACTGGATGGGTTCTCCTGGGGTTATGTATCCTGACAGCCGGTTGCTACATACTATACATACAATTTACATCCAACTTGGGAGCAATCGTCGTCGTTGCTCGACACCGTATGTGTGCCAGAGAAAAAAAGCACGTGTTCCTAAAGGTGAAGATTGTTTATGGAGAGAAAGTTCAAATCAAGAGAGAGAGCAGACAAGGTCTGTATTCACACTTAAGGTGAACTTACTACATGGTTTCAAGGCCCTAGACACCAAGGGTGAACTGCAATCGACATACACTTAAACAGGTTTCGCAAGAAAATGATGCCGTGGGCACTTAGGATTAAGCAGACGTGAACTTCGAAGACAAAATTTGGCGCGATTGAGCATTCAAAAGTCACAACAAATCGTCAGTAAAAGAACAACTGTATTTAAAACACAGAATTTGCAGCCTACACATATATGACGCAACTTGCCTTTGCAGTTGCAAGCCTTTCTTCTTTTGTCCTCTTCAATTTGCTGTGAATTGTTGTGATTGCCTCCTCTGCCAATATTTCCCCAGGTCCCCTACAAAACATGAACATAAAAACAAGTTTCTTTCACTAGCGTGACAACAACAGAGGATGAAATGGTACTGGCTCTATAAGACACAGTTATGTACTCTAATGTCACAGTATTGGCACAAGGTAACAAACACAGTGTGATCCCCTGTGCTTAATACAGTTTCTCTAACACTGAAAAAGCGAGTTGCAGTGACAAACGCAGAATAGCACAAGCACATAAGAACGTGGACATGAGTAAAAATTTTACAGAATACTCTGAATTGAAGCAAACACGTGCCAATGCGCAGAAAACAGATGGAGCAGGTAGAAAAGCATGTAAATGCGCAGAAAAACGAGTTGCAGTGACACAAACGCAGATAATACTCAAGTGCTGACTCCCAGGTAAAACAGAGATTGTCCCACAGTTCATAGGTGTCAACTGGGGAGGTGCGAATCAAAAATTCAATTGCGGAGGGATGCAACTCGTGGTGCAGGTGAGGTGAATTTATAGTTCGTGGACAACTACGTACATAGAACACTTTATCACCCTGGGCAGCCACTAGTCTGACGAGTGCGCAAGAATCGTGCCGACTATGCTCCAGGGGTGTAGGGAGTTCTGATAGAAGAAAGCAAGCCTGAAGGTCAAGCATCGGCTCTTACACTCCTAGAGTCTATCTGAGCCCTCGAAAAATTGTCATAAATCCAATTCGACAGTACTGTACCCCAAAACGCCAAAGGGTTTATTGTGTTCCATAGCATGTAAGGGTATATACAGAGCACAGTTTTACAGTTAGTGAAAACACAGAAAATGTGTATGAATCTGTCGACACACCAACGTATAGCGTTGGCAATATGGCACACACAGGCTTTAACACACCTTCCTTCTTCAAGAGCTACCAACAGTTTGGAGTCCCTGTTATGGCCACTCTTTGGCTGTAGTTGAGCAGTGGCTTGCTTTAATCTCAGCTTCTGAAATTCCTCATCTGTTAGTAACTGCACACGTGGGGAAAAAGTTCCAGTTAGCGTTACCCAACAAAAATAAATTCTTCGTACCCTGCTCTGACTGATAGCAACAGCCCTCTCAACTCTCTGTCGCTTCAGTTGCTGGCTGACGTTTGACTCGTCCCCATCCCTTCCACCATCATCTCTCTTTTCCTCGTCTCTCTTTCTCTTTCTTTCTCTCTTAGTTTCACGCCTACTGTGACTACTGGAGTGAGTTAGTAGTTCCCCGTGCTCATTACTTTCTTCACATGCACTGTCCTCATCACTGCTGTGATGAACATCAATCCATTCTGAATCTGACTCAGACACTGGAAAGAGAGATGACAGTTTGTACCATATCCTGTGGTCACATTAAAAGGACAGTAACACAAGCCAAGAGTGTAATAACAGTGAATGTGTGTGTGCACCAGCAAGCATGTATGTGCGTGTCAGTTGATTGCTAAGCCATGCTGTCTACTACACCTATATGTACATAGCTGCAGAAGCTCTCAGCAGGTAGAATAGCTACACTGCATTGAGATACCTCTATAATTCCACCCATACTTGTGAAAGGGCTAACTCAAAACCACATTTTTGGCATAAGTAACCACATAAATAACCACATAAATGCTTCTCACCATCAGTGGCAACATCCTCTTCGGGCTCTGAAGGTATATCAACCAACTGAAAATGGATGAATACGTTTCACTTGTATGTTACCATTGTATTTGGTTTACATATACACCAGTACACATTGTTCTCACATACTTCCATTCCAGGAACATGCTGTTCAGCTACCAATTCTCCATACTCCGGGGCTCTTTGAACCCCTCCCTCCATTGGCTGCCCCTGGGGGCACAGCAATCTCAAATACTAACGTAAACATTTTACTGAGCCTAACACCAACCTTATCTTTTCTCCTTAGCAGTTCAGGTCTAACACTGCGGTAGAGCTGTACGAGTGAGCGAGCTGCCATTACCACGCCCTTGTCTCGATACGTTTTGTAGCCAGCAAGATCTGCCAGTAACTCCTTAGTCATCACCAGGGGACATCGCACACACACCTCACGAACTGTATTTAACCTATATGTAATAGAGACCATGCATTGACAGTCAATGCCAACATATTTTCGTACAATAGAGAAAAGATCCACAACATAGACAAATCATGACTACGCTCCTAATCAGAACAGGTGTAATAGCACAATGTAAAGGCAAACTCTATGTACTGCAACACCATAACATGAAGTAACATGCAAAAGAAACACACCCCATTGCAATGGCATCACGGTTGTTTCTCTCTGTGATGAAATTATTAGCCACTGCCTTCACCACCGGTTCCAAAACCTTAGAGGAAACAACAAAAATAGGTTGATTTTGCCTAAAATATTCACATTTAGACCTACCTCGGGAGGTACAAGTTCATGGCTGGCTTGTGCAAGGTAAGTCATTACCTTAGTAACTTCTAACAGAAAAAAACATGATATTGGCATGGAACAATTCATAGATACATTATCCCACTGACTTCATAATCCTACAATGTTTACTCAGACCTACGTATATAGAAGAGTACTCAGAAAACCAACTTTTGTGAGGAAGTTATAATGTATCTATCAACCAGACTGCATAAAACCCCATCTCAACATCAATTCGTATGGCTGACTGCCAGTAAGATTTCGGCTGGATAGGCAACGGCCACTGGCAGTGACATAAGGGAACCCAGCTTTTGTCTAGAATGAAGTTCAGTGCATAATGGTTGGGTTACTGGGACTAGACAAAGGAGCAAAGGCTACAGTACGACCTTCAAATACAGCACTTCAATAAGTGTAACCGTGACAGCCAAGGCTTATTTTAGAAATCTGTGTATGGAAAGCAGTGTTTTGACATTGCTTCAGTTATTCTGGTGAGTTCTCGAAAGGATACAAACAACTACACTCACACTGAAGAAACCTATTACAGAAAGCGCAATGATTCAACACATGGACTGCAAAAGTTTACAGAATAAATGTTTACTGCAAGTACCTTTTTGGTGTGGTTGAAGGTAACGTTGCAGGAATGGGTAGAGATTAAACAAAAAAACAGCTAGTAAGAAGAATAAAGTACCATCACAATAACAAAATTAAGAGAGCAGTACACGTTAATGAAGATGAATGCCCCAATTGCTGTTTTGCACACAAAGATTTCTAAAAGTGTAAATGTTGATTATCTTCGGCAGTCTTCCCAATTCCTGGAAAACCAAAAGTGTGCACTTGCTAAGCAGTGTTTTTACTGCTAAAGCTAGCTTGTCCCCAAGCTCCCCTGTTATTTTCGCAATGACCTTTTTACTGTGGAATAATAACAAGGGGGAGCCTGGTTCATGAAATTGTGATGATGCAATTACATAGATGGGTGTTGCAGAGGGTGTCTTTAAAAAATGTGACTTTCCAGGCATGTTCAGTTCTATTGTATTTCCTTCTTAATATAGTGCAAGCCTCGTCCCCAGGCCCCGACCTCGGAGAAAGGTCAAACATCATACGTACACTATACTCTCTGAAATGTTCGGCGTAAGATACATTGTACCTAGATTGTCAAAACATGCATTGAAGTACATCAAAAATTTATTGCAGCTTTTGAGATTTAGAAGAGGCGCCAATCCACAATAAAACCTCATGCTAAGAGTTATCTTATCACTACCAACGTAAGACGACAAGGGTATAACATAGAGAATAGAGAATACACCGTATAGCACCTTTGACATGCATGTACATCTAATACACATGTGATTTAAATACCTGGTGAATTCCAGTAAGTCTAGAAATCAGTGCCATCATAAGCAGCCGAATCTCAAACTTCTCCGTAGCCCTCTCCAATCGTTTGAACAGTTTTTCAGCAAAGTCTTGTGGGTCATGAATGAGATGCAATGCTAAAAACCGCCCTGCAGCAGGTCCCTTCCGTTTCTTCTGCTGTTTCTACAGAGCAAAGCACAAACCATCTTCAAAATCTTCAACTTTGACATCTGGCTGCTAATACTTCATATTGCATAGCCAGGGAACATACTTGGCCAGAGAGAATGGATAACATCTAGGAAGAGAGGACATTCTATGAAGCAGTTGGAAAAATAACGGAAAAGCCTTCGCTTAAAAGCGAACACTCGGGCACAGTTGTTAGTGTTGATGTGCACAATATGCCACACCATGCAGTCTAACCAGCCAGAGCTGTCTCATGCGAGCAACATGAAGACACAAGAACTTTCATACTAATTTAATGAATCTTACACTTGTTCAACCGTCTGGAAGGTAAGACAGACACTTAGTGCTGGTTTTGCCCATTTTAGTGGGAGTGTTGAGTTTTGTTAGCTAGTACCTATAAACGTGTGTTTTAGGGGAAATATAATAAAAAACAAAACAGAACACCAAGTAGTCCACCACTGAGTACACAAAACCCGACAAACAACATGTAAATACGTTTAAAAAAGCAGCTCACGCTTTACTTCATACTAAAAGAGAGAAGGGAGAAGAAGGAAAAGCGAGAAGGGCTTCACAATATTTAGACAAGGTGCCACAAGGTACCACACTTTGAGAAGTGGGGGGTGATTAAAGAGTATTGTACGGCATGCCAACTCTCCCCACACACCCAGTGCCGAAACTTCACAACAGGTACAGCATCTAAAGTGACAATAAACCATACAATAGGAGCCAGACTATTAGAACACATAAAACAGCAGGGGGGGACCTGAAATGGGCAGTCTGTTCCGTGTTAACTCCACTGAATAGATGTAGGCACACAGGTTCGCCATTTATCCACTATTCACTAACAACCATACTGCATGGCCCACCCACTGTCTACACAGTCTGCTGAAACCCATCATCAGTGCAGAGACTCTGGGCACCATGCCTGACCTTTCCTTCTTTAGTTCTGTGCTAACATTCACAGAATCAGAGTTAGACAACTTCACAGAAGTCATGACCGGAAAAGTCTGAACGGGATCCATAACCTGTAACCATCTCTACCACTATCCCTACTAACAATGCTTCAATACATACAACTACCTTATCACCCCTCACTCTAAGTATATGTTTACAGTAGCATCTCCCATTGCCCTATGGGGAAAATAGTTATGAAAAACAGTCTCCCCCACTTTGTACACATAGCATTCAAAAATGAAACACCATCTCTTCCCAAAAAAAAGTGTAAAACCAAAAAACCTAAAAAAACCTTTGTGTGTGTTGTTGTACGTAACTTTGGACTCCTTTAAAATGTTCATTTTCTAACGCTACTAACAGAATTATACAAAGGCTAAAAATGAAGACTACCATTATACTTCTAGTAATCTCTGGAGCGTATTGTGCGACGGTATACGTTGGTTCTCCAGGATCAGCACCCTGCCCAGAGAAAGAGGGCCCCTGCCACTCACTGGATTACTATGCAAGGCACACAAGCGAGGAATGGCCGTCCGGGACCAAGGTTGTGTTTCAGCCAGGTACACATCATCTTGGCCAAAATATTTCGGTGAATGTAACAAATACAGCAAACTTGACTTTAACAGCCAAAAATTGCTCTTCGAAAACCGTGGTGAATTGCTCACAAAATGCGGGTTTTAACTTCACCAGTGTTACAAACTTAAAAATAGACTGTTTGGCTCTAATACATTGTGGACTGTACTCTGAAGATGGAGCCTGTCACAAACTACGGGCAGCAATACGTATCCAATATAGTGCAAATGTCGCAGTTACAAATGTGAAAATCATGTACAGTTTAGGATATGGGCTGTGTGTCGAAGACATGGAACATTTGCTACAAATCAACAACTCCCTTTTCCAATACAACTCGCTTATGTCGGGCGCTGCCTCACTCTTCGGTGGACACTTACAAATTTTCTACCAAAACTGCATCAATTCCTCTCTTTACATATACGGCACAAACTTTGAGCACGGCCATAATCCAAAGGAAGAAGGATATGCTCCTGGAATAACACTAAAGGTGTCATGTCCCAATTCAAGTGTCAATATTTCAATTGAAAATGCAACGTTCACAAACAATACTACTTCTCCAAAAGGACTTGGTGGGCATATTGCAGTAACCATGTCATCACTAAACAATTACTTAAAGTTGGCAGATTGCAAGTTTAATAGTGGTGAGGCATACCTTGGTGGAGCAATCTATGTATCACTAAATGTAAAACCATCCTTTTTACAAAGGTATAATACAACAGAGCTTATATCAATCAGCAACTGTCAATTTCAACATAATATTGGTGATAAGGATGGTGGTGCAGTTTATCTCATATATCATCGGTACGCTTCCCCAAATATTTGTGGTAGTTCGCAAGCCAGAAAAGTTGTCTTCAACAACTGCACATTTATTAACAACTCTGTGAAAATCCCCGACGCTTCAAATGGAGCTGCTATTCACTTTAAAACTGTAGAAACAGCAGCATTCCAGTCACAACTAGTACCACAGTTACAACTATTCATTTCCAATGGCACATTTGTTGGAAACTCACAATTGACTGCTTCATATACATGTGGGCAGCTATACTTCACAGATATGGCTTTCACATGGATTAATACCTCAACTATTACAAACAGCAACTGTAGTGGTATACTAAGCGACCACAGCATGATTATGTTTGATGGATTAACAATTATCTCTAACAATTCAGCGAATAGAGGTGGTGGATTATACCTCGGCGATGGCTCAGAATTTTATCTAATGCCTTACACAAATGTTTTATTCAGCAACAATAGAGCAAATTACGGAGGAGGAATATACGTTGATCTGATATCACAGTGTTTCTTGGAAAACGTTGAGTGCATTTATCAATTAGATAAGGCCATTCAAAGAAACAGTAGTTTGCTTGATACAGTTGCAGTAAGTTTTCAGGGTAATGTGGCAACAACAACAGGACATGACATCTTTGGTGGATCAGTACTCAATTGCTATAATCTGGCATCATTTGGTGAAGATATACATCGCAAGAGTGAAACTGTGTTTCACAAAATCTTTCATTTTGCAGCTAAAGATCCTGCATATATCTCATCAACACCTCTGGGAGTCTGCTTTTGTAATAACTATCCTAACTGTACTAAGACCTCTCAATGGATAAGCATCTATCCAGGGCAGAAATTCAATTTCGAAGTGATACTGATTGGTCAACTTCATGGCCCAGTTCCTGGCAAACTCATAATCAAAGGTAATCATGGTGTGCGCCTTTGGCCAGAGGGGTACCTGCAGCTGATACCAACCACCAATTGCACAAATATATCATTTAACGTGTACTCCAATACCAGTGAAGCTACACTTATACTCACCGCTGATGCAGAGTGCAAAAACAAGCAACTGTTGGATAGGTATCTGCATATTACATTCAAAAAATGTCCTGCTGGTTTTATCAGGTATCCCAACAGTGACTATTGTAAATGTATCGGAAAGCCTTACTTCTCGTGTTATCTTGACAATGAGACAATCGTAAAAGATATAGGCTCAACCCATTGGGTTGGATATGATGAGCAAGTTTCACAAGTTGCTATTGGATATTGCCCATATGATTACTGCAAGCAAGGTTACGTAAGGTTTCACACAACACCTCAGAGTTTTGACCAAAACACTCAGTGCAATTTTGAACGAAGAGGGATACTTTGCGGCCAGTGCCCAGAGAACAAAAGTGCAGTGCTCGGGGGCTCAATGTGCCTGGAATGTAGCAATGAATCGCTTTCTCTCTTAGTTTTCTTTGCAGTAGGAGGTCTCCTGTTAGTGCTGGTTATTACAATGCTTGACATTACAGTTTCACACGGAGCAATAAATGGCCTCATCTTTTATTCCAATGTCGTTCAGGTTTTAAGTGCTCAGGTTTTCCCCTCTAGCGTTGACCATAAGCCCGTCCTATTTCAGTTTATCAGCTGGCTAAATTTAAACCTGGGTATACGGACTTGTTTCAATAATGGCATGGACACCTATAGCAAAACTTGGCTTCAGTGGTGCTTCCCCCTGTACTTGCTACTTCTGATCCTACTGATAGTTTTTGGAGCACGGCAGTCAACATTCATCATGCGACTACTTGGCCGAAATTCAACAAACGTCTTGGCCACCTTACTCTTACTATCTTTTTCCAAGATAATTCTCAATATTGTATCGGTCTTCGTGTTCACTCCACTATACTACCATCCAAGTGGATTACACTGGAAATACGTTTGGAGTCTTGATGGAAACATAGCATATGGCAGCACGCAACACATTCTTCTAATAATTGTCGGACTTTGTGCAATAACATTTACAGTGCCTTTTGTACTGTTGCTACTCTTTGCTCAGGTAATCCGCCGCATAAACAATCGATTCTGTAACTGGATAAGTCACATCAAGCCATTGATTGACGCTTACACTGGTATATACAAGGACAACTGTGTTTTCTGGACAGGACACCTGCTACTAGTCAGAGGTGTAATATGTATTGTTGCCACAATTGGAATTCTGCACTACAACGGAATGATTCTTGGCATTGTAGTTGGAGCTTGCATCCACATCCTGACACTTAGCATCTGGCTTTTTCGCGGAGTGTACAAGCATTGGGCACTCGACATTCTGGAGTCGAGCTTCATTCTGAACATTTGTTTCCTTGCCATTGCAACTGCATTAGTGAAGAAAGGCAACACATCGGTGGATCAGAAGTGGTTTACCTACACATCGATCTCGGTAGCCTTTGTCACATTCATTGGTATACTATTCTACCATCTCCACTTGCGTCTATGCCACCTTGGCTTCTATTTGAGAATAACAAGATATTTTTGGAGAATGTTTCATCGTCGCTCAACAGAAATAGAACCAATAATTAATTAAAGAACAAAAACTCGTAACAAACAACAACAAAAACAACATACACATACATACATCACATCACACCCTTGCTGTATGCGCTACACAACAGTTGTACAAATTTTTAAGAGATTGCTGCTCGTATTTGTAATAAACTCTGACACTTTCTGTGTGTGACACACCACGCTAATGTATATGTACAGTGGGCTAGTGCAAAATTTGCAAAATCACCTCTGAGGCATCCGGAAGAAATTTTCGCGGTTTGCACTTTCGTGCTGCTCGGCCTCAACCACGCTCATTTTACGGTCCGCACGTCTGCCGCATGGCACTTATTGCGCGCACGTGTACTGTGACGTACCTGAGAAGGCCTTCTTAGCTTTTTGTATCGTGGAGTAGATTAGTATCTTTGATAGAAGTCCTCTGGCATCAAGAAGAGGGTGTGCAGTGTACATACGTGGCACTTCTGATGACAAGGGGCTAGACCCGTCCCCTGCCCGCACCCGTGCGCAGTTAAAATTTTAGTGGTGTTTTTTTGTGGAAGGAGACCTGTCTGCAAAAAATGCGTGCACCATGCGAAAATTTCCGCTATACGGTACTTGTCAAGTGTAACAGCGAGTTTAACCGAGTAAACAGGCGAAGGTGGAGGGACGCAAGCGGCATGCATATGTGTATCAGGCTTGGCATACACGTGGCCAGAGAACAGCAAGAGACTGGTGCTGCTGCTGAAGCTTTTGATTTTTTTTATGGAGCCAGTGGCACGGGGCCAACCAAGATGACGGACAAGAGTGGCAGAGCCGGGAGTTCGAGGGAGGCGGAGGCAGAAAGCGGCTTCTTCAGAGCCCAGCTAAAGGGTGAGTGTCCCGAGAGGGCAGTGGCAGCTCGTCCTTTAAGGCGGGTGAGTTAGCCAGGAGTTTAGAGGGGAGGGCACGTCGAACGAAAAAATGACGGGGCCGTGGGGGTGGCAGCGGGCGCCAGGTTGAGCCCATCGTACTGCATCACATGCAGGTACCGAACACGAACTGGGGTATATGGCGCCGAAAGATACGGTAGCGGAGCTGGACCTGACAACCGAAACTTCAGAGGGCAAAATCGAGAGGGGCGTATCCCATGGCTGACGTCAGCTACTGGTAGCTCATCACCAAGTGGAGGAGTTGACAAGCCATCCCGGTACCTGGTGGTAAAAGGCCTACCCACAATCGCTATGAAGTTAGCCGAGAACGTCTGGAATCTAGACTACGTGGAGATGGAGGAGTTTCTCTCTGCCCCATGGCCACGGGTGCTGCAGCTCGCGGAGCAGGGCACCCGGGTGTCCTCCCTACAAGACAGCTTGGTGGGGGCCCTCAGCCACTTCCAGGCTCTCCAGCAACAAAGGTCTAAGCGGCGAGCGACGGACATCACTATCTGGATCAGGTGCTTTACCCTCTACATGGCGGTGTTGTCCAAGAAGAAAGCCGAGTTAGTGCCGAACATGGTGGCACACCTCCACACCGTGCTCCGCCTACATCAGAGAGCATCTTACCAATTGGCATGGTTGGAATACGACATGCAGTTTCGCATGGAGTTAGCTGCATCAACCGATCGGTCCTGGTCGTCCGGCGATCCCTGGCAATACATCTCGTGCCTACCATCAGAGCGATCCACAAGTGACCCCTTCGAAGTGTCAGAGCTGGATCAGGAGCCCCAGTACAAGGGAAAGCGTCCACCGGAGCAGGACGGAGAAAAAGGAGGGAAGCCGCCAGCCAAGAAAGTGAAGAAAGGGGTGTGCCGGCTTCACAACACGGCCCCTAATGGTTACCCATACGGAAAGGACTGCATCTTTCTGCATTGATGCACTAGCTGCTGGGCAATGGATGAACACAGGCGATCAGCCTGCCCCTATCGGCCTGACGACCCTGCTGGCCCATCCAGAGGCTCATGATCACCCCGCAGCCCCTCCCCAGAGGAGGTAGTCAGTCGACTTACTCCCACATGTATCAGCTATGTTAAGCTCTGTTTATGTAACGGCAGTTATGAAGCATGGTTGTTCCTGGGAGAAAATAAGGGGGCAGGGCCAGTTAGCTCGGCAGGAGTGGCTGGCAGGGTTCCCAGGGGTGCAGGGCGGTGGCTAGGTGGGCAACGGCAATGGTTTTGGGATGCCAAATATTGTTTCTACTCCCCCCAATCGCGCAGGAGCGTAGGTTTACCCACACATGCTGGACCTGAGAGAGTTTGAGCAGCGGGTAGGCCGATGACAGGTCCCTGGGTGGCTACAGAGGATCGCCACCCCACTGAGGTACGAGGAGTGGGACAAAGTGCTGTACATTCTCAGTGGCGTCCGCCATGGCTTCAACATCGGATTCGACTTGAGGGTCTCATGTCATCCTGCCACCTCTTGCAGGTGCATACAAGACCTGGAAGTAAGTTGGAGCATGAAAGCGCTCAACTACAGTCACAAATGCTTGTGATCAGCCTTCTAAGCATTAGCTAAAGTCTTTGTATCACCATACCTCATGTATAAGATTGTGTTTGTCACTTTACAAGGTGCATGTATAAACGCGGGTTGTTTGCATTGTTTTGGCAGCCACAAGAATGCTCCCCACAGGCGCTAAAGTACTCCAGGGGTTTTCCCAGTTGTAGTTGGGTGTAGCCTTGAGGCGTGGCTGCCTGCTATTGCTGAAAGAGGCAAGTAAACGCAATGCTTTTGCATGTTACAGCGTCTGTGACATCCGTCTGTATGGCGGGGTAATTCCTGCCACATACGCTGTGACACCCGTCCGCAATGAGTTATGCAGGTAGTCCCCGGTATCCAACCCTTATCCCAGAGGCTCTCGTGGACCTGACAGTCAGGGAGCAACCAGATTGGACATCGCCACACTGGGTTCATCTGTTCAATGCCTGTTGCAAGCAGGTTTAGCCCAGTTTAGCCCAGTTGACACAGCGGGCGTATGCATCTGGTAAAAGGAGATACTTGGCCTTCTGCCAGGCGTCGCAGCATATCCCCTCTGCCAGCCACGGAGCAAAAACTGAGCAAAAGGTTATTGCCTATCTAGCAAACCAGGGGCTCAGGCACCCTGAAGTTCTACCTCTCAGTGGCCCGGCTTGTCCAAATCGAGTGCGGAGGTGGTGACTTTAGGGTGGAGAGCATGATGTTGTTAGAGTTGGCACTGCGGGGGGCAAGACGAGTGCAGCGAAGTTCACTTGTCTCCCGATCACACCACGTGTACTGTATCGCTTGTGGGAGGTGTGGAACAAAAAAGTGGCCGACCGCAACGCAGTGGTGATGTGGGCTGTGTGCAGGGGAGATGGTTGTCTTGGACTCAGGGTTATTTGACCCGAACCAACACCTGTCCCTCAAGGATTGGATAAAGCAGTCAAAGACGGACCCTTTCAGAGCAGGAGTCATGGTCTACCTCCACAAGACAGGTAGGCAGCTATGTCCAGTGGCTGCGCTCCTATCCTACTTGGTGGTGCGTGGCAAGGAAGATGGTCCCCTATTCCGCTTAAGAGGGGGGGATCCGCTGACACGACCCTGTCTAGTATCCCTTTTACGGGAGGCGCCGTCTCAAGCCGGCCTGGATCCCGAGAAGTATGCCGGTCATAGCTCCTGGATCGGGGCAGCTACCACGGCAGCAGCCCTTGGGGTGCCCGTCGACCTTATCAAAACTTTAGGTATAGATGGAGGCGTCAGGCATATCAATTGTACATTCGGATCCAGGACTCACAGCTGTAACTTCTGTTGCCGGAGCTCAGGTCTAAACAGTTCCTAGACGAGCCTTCCTGCCAGTTGTGCGTATGTGTCGTTCTCAAAATATGTAACCAAGAATGGTGTTAGGAGGGGAAAGTATGGGGGTGTTTAGGAGAAGATTGGGGCTTGTAGTTGGGGAAGGCATGGTCAGGGGCCATGTCCCAATCGCAATGCTGTCTGGCATGCAGTACGTTAGAGTCTATAGCAATGAAGCACGGTTAAGCATGAATTTTCAATTCTTACTTCATTGCGTGCCTCATAGAATACTGCACATATGTCTTCATAGCAGATATTGCTCTACCCATCCACATAATGCCTACCACTGTGCCTGCCATGTTAGTGTAAGAAAATCTATTCGCTTTCAGTTTCATATACATTACTACACCACGATAGCTACGGTACAAAAGAGAGAAGTCATGCCCTTACATTACCATACCTTGAGAACTGCTCTGGCTCTAGCAACTTTTCTCTCTCGTTTGCGGCCAGACTTGACAGTCTGTCTAGACAGCACCATATCACGTAGTGCACGTGACTCAGTATCACTCTCATCACTAGACTCACTCTCAGCCTCCCCGCCATCTTCCTCCTCAGTCAGAAAAAACCGCAGTGCTGCACCCATTATCTACACACACAAACGCAATAACTCATTGAAGACAGAGGACACAGTTAAATCTACTCCGCAATAACTTTAAAAAAGACAGAAAGTCACAATTACACATAAAGGACACCAAATAGTAAGAAGGAACCTTTTCTGGTAAAAAGGGTGTTCAAAAAGGAAACTAAAGGGAACGCACATCCATGTTTGTGTATGTATAGGTTATATGATGGTGGCGCTTGGTTTACTGGTTTTACACGAGTGGCCAGTTTTGATAGGGCACGAGGGCGTAGCCCGAGTGGTCTATCAAAACTGAAGCCACGAGTGTGCAACCAGTAAACCACAAGCAAAGCCATCTCGTATAATGTTTTTGTATGATGACATCTGGCGGTAAGGCTCTGACCAATGAGATTGCGCAAAAGCTCTCAAAGCGCCCTCTTTTTAACGCACACCCTCGAGTGTACGGAGAGAGAGCTATAGCTACGCTATCAACCGGGAGAGAGACAGCTGCAATAAGCTCTTTAGTTTGGTCAAGCTTGGCGGTTGTGCAGAAGCCATGGTCATTTCTCGAGAGTTCAACGTTACAGGTACGTCAAAGCTATACTTTTTCGCTGCAAGACTCCACACGAGTTTTGTAGCTGCCGCTCTGGCTCGCTTTCTCTCCCGCTATACCAAGCACTCTCGAATGCAGCCTGTTGCAGTAGCAAGAAAGCTGAAAGTCACATACTGTTCCAGTCTACGGGAGCCTACGCGTCGGGAAGCAACTTCCGCTAGTTTTCAGACCGCGTATATACTAGAGCAGTTTCTGGCCATTCTAGCCTGAAAACACTCCCTTCTGGTAAAGAAACAGCAGCACACAAAGAGTGTAAAAGCCCCCCAATTGCATTACACGCTGCCAATTTCCTACTATCGTATAACTACCATATACCCACTGTTGTTTATGCAAATGAGTTGACATACAGCTAGAGTATGGCCTCTTTATGGTATAACTACCTGTAAACTCAGCAGGAAGCGCTCATTATGCGTGTACGTTGTTTGGACTAGCTGGAATTCCTTTGATCTTACTCTCAGTCATCATACAAAGGTCGGTATGCATGTGTGATGGTGGCAGTTCCTTTAGTAGTATAACATACATGCAATTGCAATGCACAGCACCTTTGTCACTGGTGAAAGGCAGGCTGTTGCAAGGACATTGACTGTCTTAGCATCTCTCCTGCATGTTGCAATTGTAAAAGTTATCATAATTTAAAAGCACTCAAGTGCAAACCCTCGGAATAAGAAAAGCACACGGATAGCGTTGATGTGCACAATATACATGCGCATAAAGCACCATTCAGGGCCAAGCCAGGTCACACGGTCTAACCTGTCAACGGAGCAAGTTTATCGAAAACAGGCTAGCCGCATCAGTAAAAAACAGATACACATCCTCCTTCAACAGTGGGCTAATCCTGGTCAAGGTAGGCCAGTGCTGATTATGCATATTGGCGTTTTCATCAGTTTTTCATGACTCTCTCTTGGACACAGTTGTTTGAGGAAAATAACCTTTATATTTTTCTTGCTCTCACAGTCGAGAAGCAGTTGGTATCATTCATTAGCTTGTAGTGCCAGAATATGCGTGGAAAGGCATGTAAACACACAAACACAGCCAAGTACTGTTAACCCTCATTGCATATGCAGGGTAAAAAACGTTCGACTGCAAGTGCTTGATTTTTTGGCTGAAAAACATTATCATTTATATTTTGTACAAATGCTAAAATTATATGCATGCTTGTACAAAGGTCTGGAATTTGGCGATTCCTGACCTCAGTGTCCACTGAATGCAAGCCCTTACGCACAACAGGGCAATATGAAAGAAGAAGGCACACTGTTTCACTTCAGCAAAGGAGTCTGACATCAATTAAAAAAACAGGCAGTAGTCATGGAAAAGGCTGTGGCTAAGCTCACAGTTGAAAGAGCAAGAGCCGTCTTGCACATACTAGTTCGCATGCTGGCATACCATGCACTTACTGATCCAATGAAAAGCACTGAAGTGCAAACCCTCAGCGCATTGTGACGCGCACGCGTGAGTAAACGCATGCGCTGTATCACTAATCGATGGGCTGGGTTTAGTTTTAGTTTTTACTCGTGGTCTCTTGCCAGCTCGCGCAGAGTCTGACGCGGACTAACTACACTACTAGATAGCATGCGAGAGGCAATACACGCCCTGCGTTGCATCTTCTGGTGCCTCCGAGGTATATATGCAGAGCACGCGGATCGATCAGACCGCGGTAAGCCATCCCGTCCGTTGCGTATTTGCATATTGGCTTTTTCGCACTCTAGCTTTGCAACGGAGCATTTTCAGAGAAAATAATTTCTGACCTTCATTGCCCGTTGGGTAGGTCGTATCATTTGTGAGACGAACAACACTCGAGAAGTGAGATGTAAAGTAACAGACACACAGACCCAACTACTGTAACCCTCGCTGCGCATGAGCGCCAAGGGTTAATAATGGCAATGGCATTCCTCACTTTCAGCAAAAAGGTGCCACTCAGACATGCATACCAATGGTTACTTGCACACTGAAGACACACTCACCAAATATTCTTTCTGTACAGCTCAATCATGACATCCTGCAAAAAAAAAACAGCTTCATCAAACCAACATGGTTTCCTGAAAACATGATTCACGTTTTCAGAGAAAAACAAAGTTGTGGTCATAAGATTACAGAACAGGAGAATATTCTGGAACAAATGGCATGCCATACATTAAATGTCTGAGTATCTCAACAAAGACTGCATATAGGGACTTAACTCTTCAACGAGTCCACACAATAATGAAAAAGTGGAAGAATAATTATAAGCCTGCACAAACATGGCATACCATAATAAACTATGTACTTACCAGTGACATTCGAGCAGCGACTTTACTACTGCCACTCAGCATTTTGTACATGAAGTTTTGCAATGCCTATGGAAAAATAGAGAGAGTGGCAAATGAAATTAACAAGTGGGACGTACTGGCAGCACAATAATATACCGTGTTAACTTTGTTGTTCTTGTGTCTTGCATTGATTCTTTTGATATCTGACACAATGTGTGAGTATAACAACTAAAATGAGAGAAAATTTGTATAAATCACACACTTGTGTTATAGCATTGAACACAATACATAATAGGGCCCGTAATAAAATGTTCGGATTTTAATGGTGAATATAGGGAGGGTACAAAAAGCGAGGGGACAAGACATGGATGAGTGGTCCATGCATCCAGTGGTACAGGCAGATGAGGGCTGGCTCATGAACATTTTCCACTACAAAAGTCCTATACTGTTGCAAAGCCAACATCCGCGCATGTCTAGAGTTCACTTGTCCCATCACCTTGTGCACACGCTACTCTGTATCTACAAACTCTCCCTCTGAACTTTCTCCATCTTCCTTGCCCTTCTCCCGATTTTGCTTGAGACTATAAGCCATGGTTTATTGTGTTATTTCATTATCACACTTAAATGCAAACGTCCGCTTCACTGTCACTGTCACTGCAATCCAGATCACAAGAACTAGTACTACCTGATGGCATGGTTGGATGTCATTCAGGAATGAAGCTTGGTCTCCCTCCTCAAGCTGAGGAGGCTGTTGATTGCTGAGGCAACGTGGAAGGTCCTTGAGAAGCAATTGTGTGTGTATCCGCATTCAAATTCGCTAGGAAACCATACTGAAGGAGAATTCCCATTTACGTGACGCCATTAAAGGTTCGATTATTCCCGTGTCACGCTTCCTTGTAATTCCACGTACGTAACAGCAGCACGATTACAGTGGTAGTTGCCTGATACCCAGGGCCATAACTACGGAACGGAGCAGAGTGCACAGACTATATAAGACAGACAGAGGTACTAAAATACAGACAAAAATGTGAATTGATAAGATTACATAGTTCTCTGCAAACTGCTGCTACTAAAATATACTCTGCACTAACAAGGGTTGTTATCTCACAGCCTATCACATATCATCTATGCATATACCATTCTCAGTGCTTTGTCTTGACAGCTGAAGAGTTCAAAAAATAGTTCAAGGACACTGAAAATAAGACAGAATGGTAAACACATGTTACTGGAGCCTCAGTGTCATAAGTATATGAGCAAGTTATAAACAAGACTGCACTGGCAACAAATGAAAAGCACTGAAAGTGCAAACCCTCCGCGCACTGCGCATGCGCGGCACCGCTAATTGATGGGTTGGGACAAGAGTATGCGGTTACTTGTGGTCTCCACGCTAGTAGCTCGTGGAGGGTCTGACGCGGGGGCTAGCTACACTAGTATATAGCATGCAGGAGTTGATACACACCCTTAGATGTGAATTCTTGAGCCTCCAAGGTACATAGAGAGGTCTAATCAGGTAAGCCCAGTTAATTATGCATATTGGCTTTTTAGCTTGTTTTCTCGGTATATCTCTAGACACAAGTCGTTCCAGGAAAATCGCTTCTTTATTTTCAGGCTCATGTAGTTCTGAAGAAGTTGGTATCGCTCATTGGCCGCCTCGTAGCACTCAAGCAACCCTTGGGCAGCGCCTGGGGGAAGAAGGTTGCCAGAGTATTATGGACGAAGTGGAAAATATTGCAAAGGAGACACCAGAAACCAACCAGGTCCCTGGGGTTATGATTGACCTCTTTACTGAGGTCGACAGTTTCAAGCCGAACGTAGAGGCACTACAGGAGGAACTGGCCGAGATCAGAGGAGGGTACCCCCGTGTGAGCTCTTTTCCTATAAAAAGCAGCAAACAGAGTGATCTGAACTGTGGAACAGTCACTGTAGATTTTGAGTTATACTGTGTTCGCACTACTAACAGTCCACATTGAGCGCATGCGGATCTATGCGCATTGTATCCCGTAAAAATAAGAGTCGACAGACAGACAGACTCACTGACAGAAAGACAAACCAACTACTGTAACCCTCGCTGAGCATGCGCACCGAGGGCTAATAAACCACAGTTTTTACCAGGGAGGTGTATATTACGATTTGCTCACACATAAATGTCATGCAGGCATAATAGTGCCCCAATCTACAATATCCCTTTGACAAATAAACAAGCTTGTTCAAGCTGGTCAAATGTATGGTCCAAGTTTAATACAGGCATGGATAAGCCTGATCAAGCGCAAGTCAAGCATGTTACAAGCTTGCCTAACTTACAAGACTTAAACAAGCTTGTTATACAGTACAATATGAAGCCTGTAAAAAGCCTGTGTGTGATTTGCACATGCTTGGATGAAGCTTGTGTCAACTGAACAAGCTTGTGTGTGATTTGCACATGCTTGGATGAAGCTGGTGTCAACTGAACAAGCTTGTAACAAGCATGTAAGCCAATGCATAAACAGTCCGACTGAGGCCGCTCGTGCACGCGCTCTACTGACTGCGCGCGAAGCCAGACTTCCTACGAATCTGCACGCACGGCGGAAGCTAGACTTCCTACGAATGATGGAAGTTGACATTCCTAAGCGTGACTAATTGACATTCTTAAACGTGACGACACGTACGTACGCACGCATATCGCGAGAATACAACCCGGAGTAGTTGTAGCTCTGCATCGATATCGATATGTGCAGAGAAGTACAGGCATATCAGGCCACTTAAACGGCAGGTACGAATCTGAGAGAAAGTCCGTACAGCGCATGATCTAAGGCGGCGTAACCAGTAGAAGTTGAATCAATCATACTCAATATCATTAGGGAACTTGGTAATGTATACATATCCATAAGAATGCGATTACTGTGGTTATTTGAACAGTTTTTTATTTAATCTGACTCAATACAATTAGGAAATTTGGCAACATACACATCATCTGTGTCACTAAATGACATAAATACAACCTTACTAATGATTGCATCTATGGGTACAATAACGATAGGGCCCAGAACTTTATTACAAGCAAATACATGATGTACAGAACCAATGGGGGGCGTACATTGATCAACTGTTCAACTATGGCATAGTATTTATGATTAACACAAGTGAAATATGATATAAAACCAAAAGTATCCTTTGACGAACACATATTATATGAAATGACAGCGTTGTTGATTTTTTTGGCCCTTTCATAAGCCAGAGCCAAGAGCCAGGTGGATTTATTCCCTTCTTATCCCCACTTCTGTACCTTCCCCTGGAACATTTCTCAACATATTTTTGTGTTCTTAAAGGGCCTGTAGGATTTTCGCATACATACGGATATACGTGCAAATGACCACCACTCCCTAACAATATGGTTTTGCCAGGTTGCTCACAATAAGGGCATGCGTAAAAGCCATTGTGACCAACGATGTTTAATGCCATTGATTTTGCGGGCAGGTCACATGTTCCGGTTAAAACGATTGCCTTACACATGAATGGCGATGGAAGTTCAGGTGGATGAACCTGCACACCTCCTGCAAATATTTCTTTCATTGCCTGACATAGCGGTTTTTAAAAATGTATTTACAGATGGTTTTGTGGTCCCAAACCATACTCCAGCAAGTATTTTATTATTAAGCCCATTTCGCATCCTCTGTGGTAGTTCATTTATTTTGAAATACATAGGCCACATTGAATACGATGATGACCTGAAGAGAGGCACTCCATCAGTGTTCCATTGAAAGGAAATATTACATACTGAGCTGAGAAACTCTCCAGATCTAGAAAGAGCACTGTATATACAATGCTCCATCATAAACATCAGATTACACCTAGTGCCACTTTACGGCTAAACCGATGCTTAATTGCGTGAAAGAAGCCAGGCCTGCTAAACAAATTTTTAATTTGTTCCTTGATGCACAGATTGATGAAATAACATTTAGAGTCGATCTGTTCCGCACAATTGGCATTCCAAATTGAGACTGTCCTCAAAGGAAGCTTTGCAGTTTTTACAGTAATAGATAAGAGAAGAGTTTGGTTGTGTGAACTTAAATATCTTCTTGAAGCTATACAGAGATGTTACATGTATGTTAGGCTTGGGAATAAGGTAGGATATAAGCTGGAGTAGATCTTGAAAGGCTGCATCAGTTAAGTTGTGCTTTAAAGTGAACGACATTATTAGGAGAAGGGCGGTTACAAGGGATATTTTTGCGTTTTGATAAAGTGAAGCGTTCAATACATCATCACTTGGCTGCTCACTCTGTACTGTACTCTGGCTTTCAAGAGAGGTAGAAGTGGATGAGGGAGTAGGCGAAGGAGGGAGGGAGGCTGAAATAGAAGAATGTGAGGAGGGAGGAGATGGGGAAGATAGAGGGGAAGGGCTCGGAGAAAATTCATCTAGCACACCCACACCATCAACTTTTTCGATCACATCCAAACCATCAACATTCTCAATCACTTCCATACCATCAACATTCTCGATCACATCCATACCATCAACATTCTCGATCACATCCATACCATCAACATTCTGTATGATAAAAATGTTTCATACTGAGACTCAGTATTTCATTTTGTCTCTACCTCGACATTTTCTTCATCCATAAACACTCCAGGGGTTTTAACAGTCAACTGACTTCCTTGCAGATTCACCATGGCTGAAAGTTTTGCAGGCTCCATATCGCATCTACACTCTACAGCATAGGCTAGCAACGGCAAATCTCCCGCGCCTTGCGCGCGCCGCGATTATAGCGGGAAACATTGCGCATGCGCAAAATCTCTACGGTAACAGTGCCGTCGCTCGCTCACTCTGCTGCTGGTCTTTGTCAGTTGTTTGCAGTCTAGTCATGGTGTTCTACGTGCTTATAGAATGGGATGTGGATAAATCCCTCTCCGTTATTCCTCTGTCAAAATTGCTGTCGAGGAACGCGGAGATGGTTACCCAGAAGTGGGGCGCCCGTGTTTACAGCGGGACGATACTGCAGGAAAGCGGTAAGTGTATCACTTTCTGTTTGTACGCTAGGAAAATGCCGCCGATGTGCGTTTTATTGCTGCAGTAGTAGCCTGCCACGTAAACTTGTTTACTTTTGCAGAAATACGAGCTATGCGATCGACCGTCGGTGGCTAGCAGCTGCCTACGCGCGAGCTTGTAAGCATTGCCCGCGCAGCTCGTAAACCTGCTATTGGAGTATTATAATAGTGTGTGGCAGTAGTTATATGACACAATTCAGTGACATTTCCCTTACCTGTTACAATGTACTTCCATGCAGTCTTCTCGGTAATTTATTTTTGCTTTCCCAACACTGTATTCAGTGTTTATTGCCAATACTGGCAACCTCGCACAGTTGACCAACCCTGTGCCATCAGAAGGGTTAGGGGTTGACAGGTAACTACCAGGTCACTGTGGTGAGGTTGCCATTGTTGGCAATGACCACTGGTGGTTATGAGGAAGATTGCGGAGACCTGGTTTTTGTCTGGAAGTTAGCTCAGTGCTTTAGGCGCGACACTTCCAGTATCTTGGCCAGAGCTCGACTCTCAACAAAAGTTGATCTTCTCCTTCTCCCTCTCCTCTCCTGTCTGAGACAACTTGGCCCAAAACGTATGTTACCTATATACATATCTGATGTAGACTATAACTCAATCCACACCTTTCTGGACTGTAGAGGATAAGAAGAAACTAGAAAAGGAGCTGAGCAGTATCATCAAGCGCGAGAAGAAGGGGAAGAGTACTAAGAAGGAGACGAAGAAGAAGACAACAAAGAAAACGAAGAAAGCAAGAGTACAGAAGGAGGCTGAGTGGATGTTTGTGGTATGTCATGCAACACAAATTTCTTTTGTTTACCTAACACTTTTAGATGCTAAAAACTTATATTTCAGTCTTCAGATGAGTCGGTGGTTCCTTCACCTACCCCTTCACCTCTCCCGTCCCCTCTTCCATCTCTACCTCCACGACCTGCTCCTCCTCATCGCCCTCCTCAATCTCCTCTTCCTCGTCGCCCCCCTCAGTGTTCTCCTTTTCCCCGTCACCCTCTTCAGTCTTCTCCTCCTCCTCGTCGCCCTCTTCAGTCTTCTCCTCCTCCTCATCGCCCTCCTCAGTCTTCTCCTCCTCACTATCACACACAACATCGTCGAAACCGTACACAACCCAATCCCCAAGCTTTCAACGCCATCACAGCCAGTCTCACCGCAGTCCCTCACACCACCATCGGAATCACCACAGCTCTTCATACACTCATTCATCGCGCACTCAACATCACCCTCATCACAGGTCACTATCAGTTCGTGATCGGAGCCCTCTCAGCCCCTACAGTAGACCAAGGTCTCACTCCTCCCCTCGACGCTCCCCATCAGAATCGTAAAGGCCAGCCCAGTCCCACTCTGCCCCCTCGTCTGTCCAGTCTCAGGTATAACTATACAGACCATGATGTTATTAATAATTGTGTAGGGACCTCTGATACAACCTCCTTGTTATATCGAGTTGGTGGAAGGTTTAGGGGTATCCCTCCCAGCACACGAGGTGCTGGGAGCTGTAAGGGACTCCAAAACGGCTTCCTCCCTCACACGGAAACTTATGTCTCTCCTGTTTACCAATGAGGAGATGGCAACATCGTCAGTGAGGGGAAAAACAAAGAGGCCCCTCAACAAACAGAAGATGGAGGCTACAATAGGTTACAATACATGTGTATATAATTCTACATGATTCACAATCTTTTTCTCTTTTTCATGCAGGGTTCTCGATCAACAAGTACCCAACAGCTACCTGATTCATCAGGCCAATGATAAGCTTCATATTGAACGGAAAAAGTACAGCATGTCTAACAACGCGTAGCTATCATTGGCCTGACAAATCAGGTACTCAGAGGTCCAAGGTTGTGTATCATGTGTTTATGTGCTTCATCTTATATCATGTATTTATGTGCTTCATCTTATATCATGTATTTACATATGTGCTTTATCACGCTCTTAGCAATTGCTATTAATATTTATGGCAGCATGAACAGTACTGTAAAAGTACGCACCAACCATGCACGACAAATGTGGCACAGAAACAAGCTTGTGAATGTTCAAGCTTGGTGTGGTAGAGTGCAAGCTTGATACATGCAAAATCCGCAACGTACAAGCTTGCCTGACAAGCTTGTGTATAGCTTGGCTCAAGCTTGATAATTCAATAGATATAACCAAGCCTGAACAAGCTTGGTTATTTTTCAAAGGGATGCGTGATGCCATTCGAAAAAAGTCATGTTTAACAGATTTACACTGGGCGAACGGTACAGATTTCCGTAACGATAATGAAATCATGAAAGTTACGGAAATACCTTGTAATTCAATCAGCCAGCTTTCTCCGACGGTAAATTTCACATTTCAGAGCGTTTCATGCGCACTGAACGACAAGGAAAGCCACAGCGCATAAACCAGGGTTTACCAGTGTCCGAGGTTAGCCAGGCTAAATATGCCTATCACCTACGCACTCACTTGTCGCAAAACAAGGACTCGTGACCGTTCTGCCCGCGACGAGAACTCATCAAACGGAGTTGGTTTTTAGGCCAAATTCTTAGCGGTAGGTGTACGACAGGGTTCTGTCACAAAGCAGGCAAGCTGCGGCAGATATCCAGGAGCGAAAGCAACTTGGGTCCGCCTGTGGGTCTCCGCGCGATCAGAGGAGGAGAGAAAGGGGGAGAGAATCGGTGAACTGGCTGACTAAGCGACGCGTGATCTGTTCGTGATGTTCACGTGCACCGAATAAGCAGCGCCATTTTCAAATCCCTGGTGGAGCAGTTTCTTTTGATTTGTCTGTTTCTTCGAGGAGATATCGACGGGGTGCCACTGGAAAGCTTCTTTTACCCCTTCCCTGACACTTATGGCCGACTGCATACAGCCGAGCATTGTCTGGTGGTGAGCAAAAATGAGCGCCGATCTTTGCCCTTCTTGGTTTGTACTTTGTCTCTTTGTGTTAGGATAGCTTTTAGCTATGCGTCTTACTTCTCATTTTGTAGAGCTCTGATGGATACTATTTCGCCTACCTCGAGTGTGTGCCGGAGCAGGGTCTGGTGGTGTGAGAGACAGAAGTGCCGAGAGTATCCATACTCTTCAAGGTGTGAAGACTGCGTTTTAGGATAGGATAGTATCTTATTTGTTTTTTTGCAGCTCCGATGCACCTACCGCGCGTGTGTACTAGCTTGGGCAGGGTCTCGGTGGATCCCTTCAGGGTTTGTACATAGATATATATCTATGGTTTGTACTAGATATGCACGCTGGCCATGCATTGATATTGGTGCATGAAGCTGTCTGACATTAGGCCGTCGGGCTTTGTGGCCGTTCGGCTATCAGTCTGGCGTAAGTTCGTTGGATTTTGTGGTTAGGTGAGCGTTCAGTATGGCACCAAATTTGCCCTTCAAATATCTTGGGTGTGTTCCATAGTGGGTAGGAGGGAACTCTTGTACATTTTAAAGAAGGGTTGTGTTGTGTGTCTGTGCAAACATGGTACTGTATGTGTGTCTATGTGTTATGTCCAATTCCAGAAGCTTTGGTGTGAAAGCTCCTGCTTCAGAGGGACTGACGTTTGAATCTGATAGTGAAGTTCCCATTTACAACCTCAATTCCAGAAAACAAACACTCATATTTCATGCATTTTTGTATCACTTTTTCATCATTTTAAATTACAATATGCAAGGAAATTTTCATGAGAGTTAAGCGCAGGAAAGAACATCTTTAAGGAAGGGAGCTGGACAAAATGCCAGGAAATATGGCGGTTTACTTTTAGGAAATACATTAAAGACCATATTTACTTTTTAGTTGGATATGTTTTATACATAGCAAATACGGTCTTTTGGTGCCTTTCCACCAGCCTTTTGTGTCTGGAAATCAATTACGTTCGTCCAGTGTTAACTCTTTGGGGCCGAATACAATTTTTACGCTGCGTATTCACGCGCATGTGTATTGCACGCAATGCGCAACAGCGCGTTGCCACACCTCCTTGTGGAATTCGTGCTATATGCAAGGGTTGACGAAGACTGGGGGTGGAGAAGACGCTCGTGTGTGTGTTTTTCGCCGCAACAGAGAGTTCATCTGAAGTTTTTGGCCCTTTTTGGAGTTCAGGAAAGCCAGTGGTCAAGGTATGTCATTGTAATACGCAGGTAGCATATGACTTTCTAACACACTGACTGGAAAAGAGGCCGCCCAGCTGCCTTGGATGTCACTGTCATCTCCACATTGCAGCAATCAACTGCTGAGAAAATCAGGGCCACGCCCTCTTGGTTGCCGAGGAGAGAAAGTTTGCTTCGGTGCTACATGCCAGGTCGTTGGCATCACTTTTCATCCCCCTCGCTATAGAGTCCCTATAGGTGGCGTGAGTGAGATGACTGCTGACACGATCTCCAGCCTTGGCCGTCTTTTGGGTCAGCGTTTGGGGATCTCCCCGATTGAATCGACTTGTCATCTCTACCAAAGGCTCGCAATTTTTCTCTGGAGGGGAAATGCATCCGCTAGATTCACCGTTGTCCACAACTCGCTCCCTCTTTAGATGGTGTAATTTGACTTGCCTGTTTGTGTTGTTTGGTGTATTGTTTGTCCTATTTTCTGTTTTTCCTTTTCCTACATATAGTATGTTCTTACTCTTCTTTTGTTTTTGTTGCGTCTTTGTCTCTCCTTTATTGGTGCCCTTGTACAAATATATCTTCTTAAAAAAAATTTTATTTAAAAAATGAATTTCGAACTAGTATGTGAATTTGTAGATGCCGTTGCTTTGAAGGGTCCCTGAGATTGCATTCTGTTTTGCGTGAGCCCTAGTCTGTGTTCAGGGTGGGTAGTCCCGCTTTGTCTTCAGGGAAGTGCGCTATAATTAGAGTTAGCTATATACACATAGCCTTTCGCGTTGTATGTTGTGTCACGATCAGTCAGTTAGCCAGCACCTAGCATGCTGTTTCAGTCGGGCACCACGTGGAGGTCGACTGATCTTCCCCGACTAGACAGGACGCACATTACAAAACCAAGCAGACATACAATGTGCATGCATGCATGCACCACATAGAACAGAGTTACAACACTCATGCAAGTGCACTGGGTGCAACTGCTGACACAAAAGGAACACAAAGTGAACCAAAATTAGGAAGGGATAGATATAGATAATGAGAGGGAAAGTGGAGTAGGGGAGAAGGGAGCTAATAGCAAGGAGGGAATATGGGAGATATAGAGGGATGAGTAGGAGGTAACAGAAGAGAATAGTAGGTGATGGCAAGGGAGGGTGGGGCTGGGGAGGAGAGTAGAATTTCACCCTCTCTTACCATCATACATGGAGGAAGGGAGAAGAGGAGGGAGGGCGGGAGGAAAGTGAAAAGAATGACCCAAATATCGTATAACGTAAAGGTGTGTTACAACTAACGTTGGTGCCAGAGCCTGAGCCGTCCCCAGTCCCAGTGAAGCACAGTGGGGGGTGGTCACTGCACTTGCTGCAGTAGAACGATGTGTCCTCCTTCCTTTGGGGGTCTCTGCGTTCTGGGCAGTAAGCACATCTCCTTCTTTTCTACAGGCAAGATGGCAGGTGGAGAACAGCGCTGGATGGAGGACGGCAACTGACTGGTGCTCGGGGAGGGGGGACATGGACTGAGGGACGGCCCAGTGCCTTTCGAGAGTTGTAGTTGCCTACCAACTGCTCAGGCAGAATTGCTTCAGTCGTGTCTGGCTGGTGGACATAGTGATGGGGGCGAATGTGGATAAAATATAAGCGTTTGTGATGGCTACATCAAACAAAAACCAAAATATGTACTTGTAGTTCTTGGGGCATTTAGTCCTGCCTGACGTGGTAGTACTGCTGGTACTGATCACCTTTATCCACACCCGCCATGTACCGATTGTACAGCACTACCGCACCAGGACACTGTATGAGGGTCGCTTGTGCTGTCCTTCTGCCTCTTCTGTACAGTATGAGTGACATCTGCCTGGGCGAGTGTGGAGAACATGATGACTGGCTTCTTATCCATCCAGACAGATGCCACAAGGTCCCCTCACTGGCAAAACACGTGCTCCCCCCTCCCTAGTCGCAAGTGTTTGAGGGTCTCTGGGGACTCTCTGCGGGTCGCGCAAGCTGTACCACACCAGTAGAGTTGGTGAGTTGACAGAGTGTCGAAGAGGCGGCAAGTGCCAAAGTAGTTGTCGCAGTGCATCTGATAGTGGTCACCCCTCAGACACTGTTGTCAGCTCCAGCACAACCCGCTCACCAAGACCGAAATCGGTGGTCCTCTCCCCATCTATGCCTCTGCCCGTGTACACCTCAAAGTCACAGAAGTACCCGTTCACGGAATCTGCCCTCACCCATACCTTGAATCCCCTCTTTGTTGGCTTCAAAGGCATGTATTGTATCATGGAGGACCGACCTGTGTGCATGTATTATGTGTATTTGTGAACAGTTTAAATTGTGATAATTCTTATTGTATTATTTTACCCTCGTAGCCAATCATCGCCTTGTCAACACGGTTTTGGGGGTGAGGGTTGTAGTTCTCCTTGCACTTCCACTTAATGTGTGTGATGATGGGGAGAACCTTCTGAAGACGGTGGTGATTCCGTGAAGGTAGGCTGGTGTTGTTGACAAAGTGCAGGTAACGGGATATCTCTTCGAAGCGGTCACGCGTGATTCTTGACGCAATGAACGTGTTGCACAGCTTGTCGTCAGTGGACCAGTAGTCGCGAATCTCGGGGGAGACGATTGATCCCCATGACTATCATGAAGCCGAGGTAGGCTTTCAGTTCTTCAACCGAGGTCGTCCACCTAGTGCGACTGTTGGCTGCAGTGAGGCATTGCTCTGCATATCTGTCTGTCTCTCTGATGTCTGATCTCCCGTGGGTCCCTCGAGGTGGGAACACAAGGTCCAACTGGAGTAGTGCATGGCTCCACTGTAACCGGTGATGGAATCATGGTCCAGCCTGGGTGCGAAAGTTACTGGGATGGTACAGATCTGTATGGGTACTGTAAATTACTCATACCATTTTCTTGGTCTGCAGGGTCCAAAATTGTCACCCTGCCTGAGTGTCTCTCACTTGATCTTCCCCTCCCTCTCCCCGTCTGTCTTACCCTACTCACTCTCCCCCTTCCTCTTCCCCTCCCTCTTCCTCTAGGTCTCCCTCTCCGTCCTCTTGTGCTTGTCACAGATTGAGGTGCAAGTCATCTTCCTCATTCCTCCAGTCCATGTCACTGTCGCTACTCTCTGAGCTCTCCATTACTTCTGGAATACTGACAGCAGCAATTGGCTCTGGGTTATTTTACCAGCTCTTTGCAGGAATAAATGCATCTACTGTGATGCGCTGGGCCATCGCGTGGGTGTAGCAACAAAAACTAGGAGGAGCTGGAACGAGCAAACTGGCGTGTGGGTGTAGCTTCTAAGTGGCGTTGCAGTGGGTGCGCATTGCGGTACTGTGCAAGCCCGCGCGTTCGGTCTATAATGACGTATGTACGGAAAAGGGCATAGTTTTCGTCTATTTGTGGGCAAAGTAATATCCACAATGCCTCTTGGCACGAGTGAGGAAGATACCGACTCCTACAATCCGCGGAAAGTCGAGGTAAGAGTTCACACGAAGTACCTACCCCGCGCGGAGAGAACGCATTCTGCGTTATCACACATTGACGCATATTTGCGTCCTCGGCCCCGTTAAACTTGTGATTCTTTAGGCATTTGAGCGTCAAGCCATGCCTTATCACACAAGTTCGTAGAATATTTTAGATGGTATGGAATCCAGCAGTACATATGGCTCAGAAGACATTCTACTGTTTAAGCACTGTATTTTACAAGAAGAATACAAGACTTCAATCTGAGAATAACTTAAACTTACAAACTGGGTTCAATCATTCCTTTGTTTCTGAGTAAGATCAGCACCCTGCAGAGAGTCTAAAACACGGACAAAGGGAGTAAAGTATCAAACTCATAATATACACTAACACATTGTTTGGCGAGCGAGCGCGAGCAGTGCCTAGTGCGAAGCAGTTGAATATTTCGCGCATGTTTTGAGCGTATTTAGAACGACGTACAACATTGCAGTGCTAGCAGGGCAATATTGGCGCGTTTTTTGCCTGTAATTAGAAGCGGGTAGAAGATCACACTAGGAGTGTCATATCGCCGGATCGTTGGACTAGAAAATTGGCCCGTAGGTAGGCTTGCTTCGCTCGCAACTAAAGCTCGTTCAGAACTGACCAGAGGGAGTGAGTTTGAAAATACAACACAATATTCAAGACCAATATCACCAAGAAAAATCTCACAATTCTAACATCAGGGTGCAACAAAGATGAATGAGTTTGTAGCAGTTGCTTTAGTTGTTCTGGGTAGCTGGAAAGCTCTTCTGGATAACAACGCATAACCTACAAAACAAAAAGTTGGACAAGTAGTACATACATTCAAACACACCCTTAACACTATGACTTGGGCCTACATGAACACATGACTTAGGAACATGCTCATTGCTAGAGAATAGGCAAGCCCTCCTAGCCCTTGCAGTGATGGCCATCATTTCCTGGCTCTTTGTTGTGGCAAGTACAGCAAAACAGAATTGGATACTAAGCATGTGAGCACATAGAGTACAGGTTAAAAAACAGTAAACAAAGTACAGCTATACGGTAACGGTACTACCCATGCATTACCGCTACGTACCTTAATGTACCCTCCGTTTACCTCAACGGCACAGCGGAAGTATATACCTATATCACTAAGTACGGTAGTATTTAGAGTGAGCTAGGTTCGAATTGACCAATCAGATTGCAAAGCCGAGGTTTACTATTTCCCGTAGTAAACCTCGACGGGGTTCACTACATGTAGTAAACCTACACAAACTACAAAACCTACAGATAAAACAGGAAAACATAACAAAATGTACATGTAAACAACAAGATCAACAACTGAATCTACATTGACGCGTCGTCCACGCGCACGCGCAGACCCCCCTGCGCGCAGACCGTCGAGCACAACCAGAAAAAGAAGGCGGAGTGGCTACCGCGGCCACTTCGCTACCTCTTCTTGCACTGCATTTTCTGGCACTCTGAGCCTGTCTTCATCGAGTTATCGTTAGACGCGCTCCGCCATACGAACGAACAGGAAAGCCAGAGCGCTCAACGTGAAGCGCTCACTCTAAATAGTTAGACGCTGATTCCTCGGTAACCACGCGCCGGAAGAAAGCCTTGTGCCCCGGGGGTAGCGCCCTCGCTGCGCTCGGGGTGCCACAATGCCGGGGCTCTCGGCTTTCTACTGCGCGTAGCTACCTCGAATCAGCGTCTAACTATTATTTAGTATATAGGGATGGACATGGTACATGGGGCTACGATAGGGAGTTTTGTTCATCATCATCACCTTCCTATTCAACCAGCATAACTAAAAAACCGAAAGAGATAAAGCCATGAAATTCGTAGGAATGTACATAATTATCCATAACCACATGTGCAACGCAATAGCCAACATCAAATTCACAACAATACATGTTTGTAAAAAACAACAAATAGCTTCTGACACTTTTCTTATCTCAAACATTCCAATGGTAGCATGCATAGAGATGAAACTTGGTATGTATGCCTATTACATCATTTCCAAGATGATTACATGTTTCCATGACAACCACGTATTGTTTGAAAAAGCCCTCAGGCAATTTTCTATACAACTACTTCTTCACTCCTCAAACTTGCTAACTGTAGCATGCATGGAGGTGAAACTTGGTGCGCATGTGTATTACATCGTTTCCATGACAACTACGACAAAAATAGCCTCAGGCACCTTTCTTCAAAAATATTTCTTCACTCCTCAAACTTGCTAACTTTAGATCCAGGTGATTTGAAATCGCGCAATTTCATTGGTCCAATATTTTGCTTGATACTAATAATCTCTACACGGTTGGCCTGCTCTTGCACTGCTTTCAAACAGCCTCAATTCTCCTTTGTACCTTGCTTTAGGTATCTCTCTCATGTAAAATTTAATTGGAAGAATGCATAGTGTTTTAACCCCATGGTAAACCTAGAGTGAAACACTAGCTAGAGCTAAGCAAAAAGCTACAAAATACACGTTTACTTAGATCCCGGTGATTTGAAATCGCGCAATTTCATTGGTCCAAATGCGCGATATATTTTCAGTAGATCCCACTGCCCCAGACGACGGAATCTATTGGGGGGAATTCGCATAACGAATAATACACGTGTGCGCAGCTCATAAGACTGTGCAGTGTGGGGCTAGCTACTCTTATTAGCCTACATAAAAGTTCACTGTACACCCGCTGAAGTAAGCGTGGGATAGCTGTAGAGTGTCGGAGGAGGCGGATATGGAGCTGCTGGGTGCGGGTCTTGGTGTAGGCTCCATTTGCGGGATCTTCGCTGTATCTCTTTTTGTATCTCTTCACTCGTTTTCAGTGGAGCAAAGCGTGAAGGAACCGTTGCGGTTGTGGTGGGGGCGGGTCTCGTAGTGGACGCACGTGCACGCTGTTGTCGGTTGTTGTTGTGGGCGGAGTGTTCGAGGATTCATACTGTTGGCTCGCAGCGTCGAGTTCCTTCTCGGAGTCTTCATGGTCTAGACAAGACAGTATCCCGTCGCTGAACAGCTCGCCTGGCGTCGCCATATCTTCGTAAACAGTTTGGATCTAACCGGTTAGATCCAAACTGTTTACGAAGTATATGGCGACGCCAGGCACATTGCCACGGTAACTACGTGTGGTATATGTAGCACGCATGGAGGTGAAATTTGGTATCTATGCCTATTATATCATTTCCATGACGATTATATGTTTCCATGACGACTACATCTTGTTCAAATAACTTCTCCTCAAACTTGGTAACGGTAGCACGCATGGAGATGAAACTAAGGTGCATGCACGTTACATCATTTTCATGACAACTTCATGTTTCCATGACGACCACATATTGTTTGAACAACATCAAATAGCTTCAGGCACTCTTCACTCCTCAAACTTGCTAATCATGGAGATGAAAATTGGTACAAATGCGTATGACATCGTTTTAATGACAACCACATATTATTTCAACAACTACAAATAGCCTCAGGCATTTATTCCTTCACTTTTCAGACTTCTAAGGCAAAGACACATGGAAGATGAGTGAAACTGATGAGGACAACCGCATTTGATCTCATATTTTTTTTAATAAATATTATAGGGGGCTTTCCCCCTTTCACAGGGGTATACGTAGTAGTATTAAAAAAGAGGCATATAGGGATGGTATGAAAAGAAAGGGAGACAAGAGAGGGATGGGATACATGAGGCATGGTTAATGCTTACCCTCCCCCCCCCCCCTCCAATCCACACCCCTTTCCCCAAGCTTCAATCACCCCCTGACCCCTACACACCCCCTGTCAGCCCAAACCATCCCCCCCGAACCCAACCCCAAAAACTCAACCCCCCCCCCGTTACACCAACCAACTCCCCCCCATTCACATCCCACCTCATCCCCCTACTCCAACCCCCCCTCCCCCCCATTTTTTTCCCACCATTCACCGTATCCCCCTTTTTGGTTATAAACAGAGTATTTTTGGGACAGAGCTCATGCGAGGTTGTTCGGTGGGGGGAAAGGGCCCAAATACAAACCCACTACCAGAGGAGGGCATAAGGGGTGCCAAAAAAGTTATTTGTCCGTTGTGTCCGGGGTACCACAACTAAAATTTGAAGCTATTGTCTGGAGCAAATGCAAAACAGCTCTTAATCATTCTGGTAATAGGAGTTGTCTCTGTAAATTATAATCACCTTCAAACATCACTTACCCTCACATATTGTTAACCCTCGGCGTGCATGCGCAGCGAGGGTTACTGTAGTTGGGTCTGTCTGTCTGTCTGTCTGTCTGCCTGTCCATGCTCCAACTCACTTCTCGATGGTTTATTCGTCCCACAAACGATAGGACGTAATAAACGAATCAGTTTAATCGAACGGTTTTCTCTGAAAATGCTCCGCTGCAGAGATCTGAGCGTTACCAGCATAGTACGCGTACATTCTGCCGGCCATTTTTTACTCGCGGAAAACGAGCATGCGCATTAGACGAAAGACGTCTCCGTGTGTGCCGTGAGTTACGATTTCCCCTGGCTATCATGCCTCCAAGCAAGGTTTGCCCACAATGTCAATCTAGTGTACCACTAAGGCTAAAACTGTTCGCCGAGGGTTTGCACTTTAGTGCTTTTCATTATTATCACTAATTAAGCCACAGTGAAAAGTGAACTAATAATTTTTGTACTTCATGCAAGCAATGATCTACATACGTGTAAAGTGTTTATAAAAATATACCATGGTTAAGTATGATGTGTGTAAGTATGGTTGAAAGACATCACAGGGTATGATATAGAAAGACATAATGGTTTAGCAGGACAATGACCAAAAGCACACTCCCAGGCTGTCGCCAGACAGCAATCCAATTGAAACTCCAGTATCCAGTAGGACCCCCTACATTCTCTATGATGTTTGGAAGTATATACCTTCCTGAGGTGGGCAATGTATTTTTTGCATTTCTCTGTCTCCCAACATTTGTGGATTCCATCTACTAATTCTTGTTTGTTTCTTGGCTTAATATTTCTCCGCAACTCGAGCCAGAGATTTCAATGGGATTGCAGTCAGGTGGTGTTTTCCACCAATTAATTCTATTGCACATGCCTGGAAGTGTGCTTTGTGTCATTGTCCTGCATTAGACGGTGACCCTCAGGAAAAAAACGATTTACAAACGGAACTAATGCCTCTTTTATAATTTGACCATAACATGTTGCTGTCATTATTCCATCAAAGACAACAATGTAGGTGGTGCCGTGGCGGCTGATTCCAGCCCACACGTGCACTTCGGTCGGGTGCTTCGGTCTGTAAGAAAGCATAGGATGTTTGATATGCTAAGTTTGGTACGTTCAGTAGCAAGTACATCTAGAAATGCAATGATGACACTATCTGAAGTGTGTGTATGTATATGTATGTGTGTGTATAATATTGTATCATGCATATACCTTGGCTTTGGTCGTGGTGGGTTACCAATGCGACGTCTATGCGTTTCGAGTTGCACCGAGCATTCATCAGTGAATGAACTCATCCCCCAAATTTTCTCTAGCCCATTCCATCGCTTCAATTTGTTATCTTTCCTTATCAGCTGGCAATATGCACTTCCCCTGCAGGTCCACCCTACACCGCAGCACCGTTGAGATTGTATCCATTTTGCTCGAGAATTTTAGAAATCCCTGTCCTCTCATCATCTTCTTCTAATGTGCCATCAAAAATCTTCTTTACACTTCTACTAACTTCCGTACATCTTCCTGAACCTGGTTTTCGCTGTATATGTATCTCCAGTTCCTTGTTCTTTTTCAACAATTTCCATACGTCAGCTCTACTTGCAATAATGCCTTCCTTCGACAACTCCTTTACAATACCCCCCACAATTAGTCCTGTCGTGCCATAAAACAAGATTCTTCTCTTAGTGTAATCACAGTAAAATATTTTTGTCGCGCGCAATTACACGCCTGCTATTTTCCGACGCGTCGCGCGCACTGCCAACCTAGCCGGCCATCTCCCTCCTCCGCGTAAAACGGTAGAGCTAGAAGATCGTGCCGGCTGCGGGGTGATGTTGTTCTAACGAGCTGGCGGTCTTGCGAGCATCGGCAGGCGCTCCTCTATGTAGACTTGCTGATGCACGGCGTCTCCAGAAACGCTACACGGAGTAGTGTAGCTTGGCTGCACGGTGCTACGTGCGATCTGTGTGCGGAGTGAATCCTGCAGTGAAGTACCGTTCGAGTACCTTTACCGTCACATCACCATACCATTTCCGTACACTTTCTGTAGCGCAGTAGTACTTAGAGAATGAAAAGCACTGAAGTGCAAACCCTCGGTGTACTGTGACGCGCACGCGTAAGTAAACGCATGCGCCGTACTACTAATTGCTGGGCTGTGTTTAGTTTTAGCTGTTACCCGTGGTCTCTTGCCAGCTCGCACAGAGTCTGACGCGGGCTAACTACACTACTAGATAGCATGCAAGAGACGATACACGCCCTGTGTTGCATCTTCTGGTGCCTCCGAGGTACGCAGAGCACGCGGATCGATCATGCCGTAGTAAGCCGTTGTGTATTTGCATATTGGCTTTTTCGCGCTCTAGCTTTGCAACGGAGCGTTTTCAGCGAAAACCACACATATTTTCTGACCTTCATTGCCCGTTCAGTAGGTGGTATCCTTTGTGAGACGAACGAACACTCGAGAAGTGAGATGACGAGTAACAGACAGACACACAGACAGACAGACAGACCTAACTACCGTAACCCTCGCTGTGCATGCGCGCCGAGGGTTAATTACCGTCGAAGTACCTCACGCGTACCTCTAGAGTACCGCTATTGTACTGCGAAAGTACTGCTACCATTACCGTACCGTTACCGTTGTTTACTTTTTTGACTCGTACTGTACTTAAATGCCACACGCGTTGGCACAATTGTCACCGAGACGTGTGTGCGGGAAGCGGTTTGTATTGAACACTATGTATGGCGACTTCAGAGATGTGTGCGGAACTGTATTCCCGGAGTGGCGGTGGACTCACTATTATGAAGCTCACAACGATAAACAATAACAGGCTACATAACTGACTTGGTTGCCTATCCAATTAAAAGCACTAAAGTGCAAACCCTCAGCGAACTGCTCATGCACCATACCGCTAATTGATGGGCTGGGCTATTAGTATGCGTTTTTCCCGCTAGTTGCTCGCAGAGAGTCTGGCACGAGCTGGCTACAGTAGTATATATATAGCATGCAGGAGTCAATACATGCCCTTCGTTGTGACTTCTTGTGCCTTCAAGATAGCGGACCCAGTCGATGTCAGCCGCGCCACACATTTCGGACGCGTATAATATATGCATGCGCACAGCTAATTGATGGGTTGGGCCACGCAGCTCGGTCCGCGACCGTGCAAGTTTCTCACTCTTTTCCTGAAATGACTGTTATTTCAGGAAAATGGCCCTTATATTATTCAGGAGTGCGTAGTTCTGAAGCAGCTGTAGGCCACCTCGTAGCCTGTAGTGGCAGAATAAGCGTCGGCAGACAGACAGAGAGACACACTGACAGACAGAATGACTACTGTAACCCTCGCTGCGCATGCGCGCTGAGGTGTAACTACAAGTTCACTAAACTGGAAAGGAGCTTTGAGGGATCAGCGTGGTAAATTACAAGCTTGTGGGTGTGTCATATGGAAATGATGACAGCACAGTATTTTTATTCTTATGCACTGCATACCTTGACACACCTTATTTTCAACGTCTTACAGTGTGGCACAGCAACTGTACTAAGAAGACTGCATCTGTTGCACCAGTGCAACATCTACCGCTAAAGTCTTGCTATCATGGCTACTCGACATCACAGTAACTGTAGTTACACCCCTAGACCATCACTATGCCACTTCGCAGATCATATAGGCTAGCCTTCAGAAATCAGGCAGAAAATAACCCTATCAACAATACAAGGTATTTTTCACCCCCTGAGAAAGCTTATCGCCTGCATAAGCTGCATTGTGTAATCCATCAGGACAGAAAACTGCACCAGCTGAAAACTCTAGTAAAACTTGCATTCAAACTTATGCACTTATGGGGGGTGATGAATGGGGTGATGAGTGTCAAAATTCAGTGCCGAAATAACACACAGATTTATCAGATTCAGGGGTTCCTCAAGGTCAAAATATGTAGTAGCCATGTTCGCTAGAGCCTTAAAATGTAATAGCCACGGGTGTATTTTTAGAGCAAAGCAAGTGTGCGTATCACGTTCAACATGCCATTGTGTATGTAGCGCAGGGTTCTGCCCAGAATTATTTTAGTGGTGGCCATTATGACTTTAGGTAAACAGTCCTAGAATCATTGCACGCGTAAACGCGCATGCACGGAATTATACGCGTACGCATGGCTTTTTTCGCGATCGCGCGTGCCTTTTTGTTTGCATGTTTATAGGCGCGTATACGACGCCCAGATTCGTTATTCGTGTGTTAGAAAGCCAAGTGTCATCTTAGAGCCGCAGAGAGGCCACGTTTCCATTGCAGATATTCATTCGTCGCTCTTAGATACGGGCGGAAGGCACCAGCCCCGCCTTTTATTTAGGAGTGGTCGGGAGACTTTCAGCGGTGGTCGGGTTCATACGGTGGTGGTCGCATGCAACCACCGCCGACCATCGTAGGCAGAACCCTGGTAGCGCGTGCGAAAACGCCCTCTTTCAGGACTGTCCAGCCTGCGGAACATGGAAAGGAGCCTGGCTACGAGGATAGCTTAGTTTTCTCGTTAGTACCAGCAACTGAAGCGCCCATGGACGGAGTGTGCCGCGCCTCATTTTGCCCGCGCGCCTCTCTCTAGCTCGCCAACGCCGCAATGCACGCGCGGATTAGCCAAATTGGCAATTTCCAGCCTAGAATTTTTTGCCAAACTCAGGTTTTTGTCGTATTTGGCGAAAAAATGACGACCGGTAGCGAAACCCTTGAGATTTATGGGTACTCAGAATCATAGGCACTTTCAGATTTATGGGTACACTTCATATTATGGGTTTAAGATGAATGAGCTCTTCAGAATTACATTAGGGTATATTTAACCTTCGCCTACACACATGCGCAGCGAGGGTTACTGTAGTTGGTCTGTGTGTGTGTGTGTGTGTGTGTGTGTGTGCGTGTGTCCGTCCGTCTGTCCACCATTTTTCTCGGTAACCACGGCAACTCTATACGTCAAACGTGGACATACTAGTGGAAATGTTGAACATTGTTGGCGAGCGGGAACGACCCAACTTGGGATTTGCCAGCGATGTTCTGGCTGCATACCATGCCGTCAGCGCATAGCGTGCTTTCCTTGAAGCAAGACAAATGTACCTGTCGCAGTTACGTGCGTACTGTATATTGCCAGAACGGTGAGCAGGTGAGCAGAACGGCACTTACCTTATGCTTTCAGCTCGTCAGTCGTGGTCCACCAGGCAGCTGGCATGCAGCAGTATCTACACAAGCAATCCTAGCTTATTTCCAAGTTGCACCTTCGAACCATGGGAAGAGGTACAGCCTCAGTCAGTCACCGAAGATTGCAGAGCATGCCGTCGAATGGAGGAGAGCTCTCTCTGGCTAGATCGATCCGTGCATTTCGCGAGGCAGCATGTGTACAAATTTGGAAATGATTTTCGGATAAAAAGAAGCACGTAACGAAGCCGCGCATGCGCACTTACAAGACATACGAACGGACAATAAATAATATATATATATACACCGAAAAATCCGCTCGATCAAGTAGGAGGCAAATTAAGATTCTGGAGCACAGAAGGCGAGGAAAGCTGGTGAAAACGGACAGCTGCCGAGGTGAGTGTGTGTCATGCAAGATGCTTTGCGCGTGTGGAGAAGATTTGCTGGTCTGCCTCTATTGATGGTACATTGAGTAGGCGAGATTGCCGGTGAAATGAGAGCCAGGGAGTGAATCTGTTCAGTGAAGGAGTCACAGACAACGAACTATTGAAGCAACAGTGGCGGGGGTTATACACTTTCAAGTGCTTCTCATTCAGATTTGCTTTCAATAGCGCATGTGTGTAAATACCCGCATGCATATGTTGGCTACCTGAATGTGCCTGTCATGCACAACGGTATTACAAGCATGGGGGGGGTGGGTTAGCAATCACTACCACAACTGGAACAAGATATGTATGGTATACGGACAGCAGACAGTTTGGACACCCATAATTATTCATGAGTGACATGGACCACATGGCAGTGTCTACCCTCATGCACCAAAAATTCGGTTGTTTATCAAGTAGACTACCAAGGTAAGGTAAATGGGGGTAACTCCGGACGCGGAGGTAACTCCCGACATGGGGCGTAACACTGGCCTCCAAATTATTCACTCCGCAAAAACGCAAGGAAGATTGGTTAGCGCTTTGGTAGGTAGTAATCAAGTGAAATATATTTTCTTGTTTCTGAATAGCGAGTTATGTCCGTGTATTACCCAGTGTCCAAAGTTACCCCCCCATTTACCTTACTGTTTGGTTGTGGATAGTGTGCCCAGCATACCTGACCAATAAACATCAGAATTTCACTGAAATGTGGCGAATCTTGAGCCGGAGAGTGAATTAGTAGCTCGAGTAGACTCTGGTAGTGCTGGTACTGCTGCATAAACTACAAAATGAACAGAAGGCTAGGCAAGGCAAAACATATCTTACAATACGTCCCCAGATTTACCAGCCCTTCCCCACCTCGTCTCGATAAGCTATAGGATCCCTCTTGATGAGGTTCTGCAGTTGAGGGAGATTGGAAGGTAAACGGTTGCGCTGACGACTGGAGTCAACCATCGCCTTCACAACACTCACAAGCGCCACGTGGGTTTAAAGTGCACGGACAAAGAATCCGGAGTTGACACCGTGACATCAAGCCGACTGCTCCATTATAATTGGCCGCGCGCCGGAGCCGCTGCGAATTGAAAATTGCAGAACTGCGATAATTGTATTGTGCTACTGCAAATGAATGTCTAGGGTAGCGCCAAAGCCAAGTTCTACAGGCAAGCTTAGGCGACTGACTGCAAATTGGGCATTTGAGAACATTCCAGAACCTTCGCATAAGACAACAGGACAACCTAGGGACGAACTTTTACGGCAAAGGATGAATGCAAGTAAAACGGAGGTCAGTGTTTTAGCTACCTAAAATGCGGAGATGTATAGCATTCGCCAGCGATCCCTGTATATACCTACGTCAGTAGCTACATGTGCGCGGACGGTAGTCTCGCTGGGCATCTGCTTGCTCCTTTGGCGTAGCTGCCACACCTGGGCACTAGCTATCCGTCACTCCCGCGGAGAAGAGGGCGTAAGTAGAGCGTGTTGTGTCTTTGCTCTATACAAATGCGAAGAGGTCAGTTGACCACAGAAACCTTTGTTTACGTTACTTGTGGTGGCTACCTCTGCCTCTGCAGTGTGAATATTGTTTTGATTTCTAGGTCGGCAGGAGGATACATCAAGCCAAGTCAACATTCACAAAAGATCTCCCACCACCCTCCTATGATGCTGGAAGGAAAAGACAAGATTACTTGCGACAACATGAAAATGTGGGTAGTTACAATTACACTCAACCATTGCTTGACTTCCTCACTCATGTGCAGGAACCAGCATCAGTGGATGACTCTTTTAATGATGCTATGAGTGATGGAACAGATTCCGGTCTAGGCTCAGGTTGGCGCATATTATTATCTCCTAAACACATGATGTTACACATGTCCAGCAATGCCACACCTACTTAGATTGTGCACGACAAACACATAAGCATCTCCTACTATAATTTTGCTAGATGAATGCAATGCAAGCTAAGCAAACAGTTCAATATTTCGCGCATGTTTGTAAGCATTACAATATTATGCATCCGTATGTCTGTCCGCCGTTACAGATATGTAGAAGAATACATGTACATTTAGACAACTAGGTGGGCTCACTCAGTCTCGCCAATAACATCAAGGTTCCATGACTAATGCAGTTCCCTTGTGCTGAGCACGTCTTTATGAATAACAACTGTACCTCTGTGTGTTGATGGCCATAACCATAATCGTGCATGTTGATACAGCTATTGAAACAGTAGTTTCCAAGAATGGTGATTATATTGTTAACTTCTGCTGACAGTTTTTACTCACTGCAACATCATGTGATCAATGACAGTAGACTCCACTACGTGTGTGTACCTTATTTGACATATTTCAGTAACAAACATACTAATATTGCAGCCACAACACTATCTAGCAGTCAGGAGATACTTGAATACATGGCGGACAATCTCATGCACTTCCTGAATCCTACTTTGGTACTTCCACATTTGATGAACCACAGCTTGCTAACTGAGGAGGATGCTGGTTAGTTAAGTTGTTCTTCTGCTAGTATACATACTAATTTCATACATATGTTGTGTATAGTGATAATATGCTAAATTTTGGCAACTAATGTGCATGCAACAGATGCTATACATCCATTCACTACTGTTAAATTGGCCCAATGGTTAACATAGTGGCCAACTATCAAGGAACACTTTCCTAGATTAGGCTATACAGCAACAAACCTGGTCTGTATTCAGGCAAACTAAGCAATAGAAATTTGTTGGCACTTTTGCGTGTAAGTAATGAGTCATAACATTTCTCGCTCATTTAGTCTCTGTGTACCTAGTGTGAGTGTTAATATTTGTCACTGTTCATTCATGCAATGATCCTTGTGCTCAACACAGAAGCCTCATGTACTGTAGAGAGCATTACACATAAAACTAGCCGGTACATAAGGCATGTGCATCTGGCACACTCCAGTGTAACCAAACACCAGTAATGTTGTAATATTATAAGATCTCCTGAGTCGTAAATTAGGCTGAACCTTGTAGGAGAGAGAGGTGGGTGTTAGAGGTGTAGCCACATTTAGCCTCCTTGTGTATTCCCAGTATGAATGTGGGAGTGAGGGTAGGGTGCAGCCCTGCCCAACCATCTGTGTCTAATACACTTTCACACAGCCTTTTTGTTCATACTGTATTTCTACAGTAAAGTATGTGTCCACACTTTTCCTGTGTATCATTATCCCTATCAACAGATTATATCAGTTCTCCCAAACAAAGTGATGAGGAGAAGAAGGAAAAGATACTGTGTGCCCTGGCAGTGCAGGATGCCGATGTGGTAGAAAGACTAGTAGAGTGCTTGGCCAGAGACTCGGTTTATTCAAACCATCGCTACATTGCTAGGAAATTGAGGGATGCAATGGACTTGAAAAGAAAACACCCTGATGGTAAGATGGTATTTCCACTACGGTATTCGTGTGCATGTGATTCATCCCGAACATACATCTGTATAATATAATGTACCAATTGTCCAGTTGTAATGCGTGGTAGTAAACTTGAATTAAGACAAGACACAACTTGTAATTTTAGCTTGTGTAGGTATCTGTGTGCCCAATGGACTTCAAACATAATCAATTAGGTATACACATGTCTTTCATACAGTATGTACACCATGCCTTATATACACTGTTGTGATAGGCAGGGTGGGGGTATATATTTATGGTAGAGGTTCCAAGGTGTGATTTGATGTGTGTGACATTTCTCCTTGTGTGATCTCTCTTACCTCACTGCGGCCACCCACCACTAGCTGTTTTCATTTCTCAGTGCCATTGTCCACACTGCGGTTGGGAACTCCTCCTCGTGACAGCAAGGAGTCTTCTCCCCCATCTGCTCCGATCAAGCCTCGTGGAGCAGCACAGAGAAACTCCATTGCCAAGCTCCTGGCTACAAAGAGGAATAATGTGGCCAACCTTATCTCTCAGATAGAGACCAAAGAAACATCGCAACATCAGCCAACAGTGACGGAAAGTCATACCTCTGAGCAGCCAGCAGTCACAGATAAGCCCTTCGGTCACAAGGAGCCTGTTACTACAAGTCCTTACAATCATCCCCAATCCAATCCAGTGAACACTGTTCGACACCATATCAATACCAATGCTGTGTCTCGCTCCACCTCCCAATCTTCATCTCCACTGTCTCCACCCTCAACTACTAGACCTGAAATGCACTCTTCTCACATTCCCCATCATCCTCTTTCCCCCTCTCATAATCGTCCCAACCCCCCATCTCCAGCATCTCCCACTGTTTCATTCTCTCCTTCACACACTCAGCCTGCTCCCCTCTCTGCACGCCCTCGACCCCATCCAATGTCACCAAAGAGCCCATCTCCTCAACTCACTCCACACTCTATATCACCACATATTATGACCCATGCCCCCTCAAGTCACACTTATTCGGTAGCTATGTCCCACCAACACTCCACTCCAAACTCTCCTTCTGTCACCTCTCCTCCCCGTCCACAACCTCCTCCACGTGCAACTGCTCCCAAACTCTTTCAAGCACATGCCATCCCGCAAAGTCCCTCTGACACTGAACGGCACACTAGTGTATCACCTACAGATCTTCCTACTAGTCCCACATCTCAACACTCCACTGACAGTGGAAGAGTAAGCCTGAGGGAGAGAGAGACAACATCCAGCCTTGCATCACTTGGGGAAAGTAATATACACTCACAGAGAAAGTCTCTCCCAGACTTACTTTCTTCATCTTCACCCAAAAGTAAGTAGAAATTGATGTTGAATTTCTTTTATTTTGTTACTACATTCTGCATAATTGGTTGGCGGGCAGTTGTCTGAATAATGCTTGTTAGTGTTTTTTATATGGTACCCAGCCGCTCAAGAGTGTCTACGTCGTTAACTTTGGTGGCAAATTTGGCCCTAAGCCGTAGTAGCCGAACTTCTCTTCTAGCATACGAGGCCCCACTTACCATTGTCCATAGACTACGGCGGATGTACGTGACGTTTATTAGCCATTCTGCGATCTGATTAGAGATCTCGATTTCGAGGTTTTAAGTTATGAGTGGATGGGGTCTGGGCACAAGACTAAAGTCTATTCCCGCTCACCTGGACCCCTGAAGTCGTTGTGTAAACACTTTATACTGTAACCACATACTTTACTTATGGCATACCTTTCTTATGGGACATGCAGCTAACTTTTGACTGGTAGGGATTCAGGCTTAGTAAAACATTATGGTTAGACTAAGAAGAGTGCGAGGATTCTATTGCTGCATGAATTTTGAAATTGGACGAAAAATAAGCAAGATATGGCAAGTATTTGAGGGTCCAGGTGAAGTCAAATAGACTTTAGTAATTATACATAGTATAATTATACAATCCACAACATAATGCTTACATAATTATAAGCTGCTGAAATTTTGCACTGCATTCACTCGCCAATATATGTGTTGCATTTGTGCCCACCGTTTATGTGTCACATGGTGAGCCAAACAATAACATTGGACATGAATGTCTCAATCAATTTTTTCCTAGAACCTTTCTATCCTCCCTCTCCTTCCTACACTGAGAAAGGCGCGGATGAACTCACCCCGCCTGACAAATATTCCCCCGATAATCATGCCGATGACAGCATCCAAACGGCAGATGAGATCCCAGTACGTCATCGGCAACGAGCTCCTCGACTTGCAGGACTCACTGCGAGGTTCTATAGACACCGTCGCAGTGCCTCCATGTCTGCCTACGACACTCGTCCCTTCAAACGAGGGGAACAGTTGTATGCTTCAGAGAACAGAGGAAGGATGGAGAGGTCCGGTTTCTACCACTATGGCCAGGGAAAAACAGATGCAGCAACAGCCAAAGTCAGAGCGTCTGTCAGGGAGGGAACAGAGGTAATTAGAATGTGTCCAGACTATGGTTTATACAGAATAGGTCGTGACTTTTGCAGTATGTTTTGTTTTGGTAACACCTTGTGTCTACTTGGCATGGGTTCATAATCACAAAGTTAGTCCTGGGCAACATAGGCAGTGGGTAGCCATAGCAAAACGACGTTTACAAATAAGAAGCCTTTTTCGTCACTATTATAGGAGACACTTACATGGATGTATTGACTGCACATCCCACAGAGTATGTATTTCACACTACAGGGATATAGAATATTGACAAACGAATCATGTGTAATATTTTTTCAGAAACTGGTGAAGCGGCGTATTGACTGGCTACAAGAGAGAGTACAATTCACTGATTGCCCTGAGGTACTAAATACCATTTGTTATCATCATTTTTGTTAAACACATGCATCACAGTACTAGTCTCCTATCTGCGAGCGAAGTGAGCCTACCTAGTCGTTTCAAAGGGGGATTTTTCTATTATACATAATATACATGTGACGGTGCTGTCGGGCACTGCACATAACGTAACGTAATGCGTATGTGATTCTAAATACACGCAAAACACGCTCGAACTGCTCGCGCTCGCTCACCATAAATGTGTTGCATTCCAGGTGACCATACCATTGTGCTATGTAGGCAAGCATGGGTGCCTATTTTCTACGGGCTTGTTATCCGACAATTTTTCTTCACAGCATATTCAGTTCACATCTCAGACCCACTATGGCGAGGAGAGAGAACTACTTTACAGTGGGACACTGCACAAGGTAAGTCCTAGCATACAAGATACATATTATAGGGAAATAATCCCTTGATTTATATTTATATGACCAATTAGTTATATTGACTTATAATCCCTGTTACAGCATGGTAAAGCCAGATTCGTTGTCCTCTTTACTGACTACCTTTTGGTGTTGAAAGCAAGAAGACCTAGCGTCCCATCAAAGCTGGGAGGAGTTTTCAGTTTCCAGCAATCCTCCAGAATTGACTGGTTCTCTGAGTTGGAGTACACTGCAAAAAAGGTTTGTCTGTGCGCGTATAGCTGAATGCTAGAGTAAGTATTTCGACTCTTCTACAGCCATTGCCCCTCCATCTATTGACTGTGCAGCATCAGAGCAGTAAACAGAGTAAGTAACTATGTTGCAGGTCCCACCTGGCAAGTGTGGTACACATCACGATTGCACTATTATGCAGTCAGTCGAAATTATGTTCCATTATTATTTCCTTACGTAATGACAAGTTGTCTTCTCTACAGGCAATGACAACTTCTGTTTGCATTTTAATGAAAAAAACAAAGTGATGGAGATTGTGTTGCAAGCAGTTTCAAAAGAAGCTAGGTATGTATGTTTGCTGAAGTCACAAAGTTGCAGAGCATACATCTCTATCTACAGAGATATATGGGTAGAAGAACTGTCTGAAGCCATCACACAAGCAACATCAGCACATGCTGATACATTTGTTCTTGTTGGAAACAGAGGTTAGTATTGTAAACAAGGCCGACCCTTTGCCTACACCCTTGGCTTACGATTTCCCACTTTAGCACTTACAAGAGATGGTTGTAGCACTTGTTGCAATCTCTGTATTTGCATTGCACTTCAATACAGCTCTCATCAAAAACAGTGGTGAGCCCTACAAGAAACTCCAGCTACAAATTCACAGTGCAAGTAGCCTGGGACTGGCAGCAAACTGCAATTCGTTCAGTCTGTTCTGTGTGATAGAACTGGGCAAGCAGCGTTGCCGTACACCCTCAGTCATGGGGGGTTACAATCCTTCATGGGGTTACAAGGTGAGGCTGATTTACGATTAGTTCTTGGCATAATCTAGAAGCTATTTTCACACCTGCTTACACTTTTTTAGTGCGAGTTTACTGACTTCGATGATGAGGATAACCTTCTGATTGAAGTTTTCAGTGAAAATATCTTTAGACCAAATGGTAAGCAGGAACAGTCATCACATTGCAATCTTCTTTTACCCTACCCCTGTCTTTCAGATTTCCTTGGTTGCTTGAATGTCCCATTGACATCACTGCCGGAGGAACAACCCGGTCGAAAAAACTTTGATGGTAACATGGTTCTCGCTGGGCTAGAGGAGGCGTTTGCAGGAGAGCTACACATAACTGTTGAGCAAGGGTGGGAGACGAAGATGTAGAAAGCACTCTACATAATTATTTTGAAATTTGTATTAACACATTATTTCTGTGACTGAAACCTTTTTACCCGAAGACAATTACTTAAATCGCCCTCTTTATGCTCTACTTTCTACTTTGTATGCACATCTCTTCCAGTTTCAGTGAAACTAAAATAGAAAGTGTGCATATAGCATTGACACGCAACGTCTGTTCTAAAACCAAAGTACACCTTCAGTGAAGTTCAATAGGCCATTCACCGTAGTTGTAGACCCCGAGGTCCTTTTTGGCCTGTCAATAGTTGCCCAAACATACTGGCTTTTACTTGCCTTACTGTTTTTTGCTTGAAGACAAAGAATAATTATACGTTGCTACCTATTTTGTCCTCTCTGGCTCCTTATTTCGTCCACCTGCTCATCATGCATTATAATGAGCCCACCCTTAGTGCTCCTGCCATAAATGAATGTCTCCCCCGCCAGACGTATCAGTGTACCCTTTTCTATCTCTCCCCTGACTAAACCTCTTCCTCCAAATTTGCCAACCAAGTCTGCCATTTTGATATTAAACTTTCAATAAGCCTGTTATCACATCTGTAGTGTTGGTAAACCTATTAGCATCAGCTACCCAGTGGATGTACATGCACACTAGGAGGATATTTAGTAATGCTCTTCTTACCTGATAGTTAGTATGTTACATAAGAGAGAGTAGAACAGGACTGAAGCGTAGGCAGCCTACAACCTTTCTCATCAACACTCCAGTGTTAGAAAAATTTCCATTTTTAGCTCCGCAACTGGCCAAGAGGCCAAAGCCAAGGTGTCTCAGACCAAGCCCCGATATCCAACTAAAATCCAATCCCTTGGAAGTTGGAACAGTTGCATGGAACATCAGGAAACAGTTTTCAACACAGTGTTTTAACACTTTCTGTGCATGCGGTATTTTAACACTTTCTGTGCTGCGGGAAGTAGTAAGCTGCAAGATGAATCAGCGCATCGAAAGAAGAGTTCAGTTTTGTATTGCTTGTTCTTAGGATTGCCGTCATGCAGGTTCTAAGGTTAGAAGGAGTTGTAATAATTAAAAGTTCCATTTCTTACTTTCTCTGAATATTCTGAGTAAACAAAGTACATTTCAGCAAAAGCAGAATTTAGCAAAGTTTGATAGTTAACTTTGGAAGTCAGGGTTCACAAATGTTTGACTGTGTATATAATATATACAATCCATACTACAGGGGTGACAAATTTGTGAACCCTGCAATTATAGGGTGACACCGTATGTTGGTATTGTAGTAAAAAGTTCCCAGGTTCACAAATTTGTCATCCAGTTGCTCGATTTATACACTCAATTGCACAACGAAGTAAAGTGCTGAGTATTTCATGAAATTTACAAATTCTGAAAATTGGAAACAGAACTTTTACTAGAGACACTGTTTTGTGTTCAAAAATTGTGAAACTTCCAATGTGACGATTCATGGACACTTGGGCATGAGACCTGCAAAGAAAGATTGATCTCGAAACACCCTATAATAATTATAACTTGACCGGAGTGAACCTTTAAATGTTTATACGTGGATCACGTGAGATTTCATCTTCGCATTTGGCAAACAGAAACCACCCACCTGTGTTTAAAGTAGAACAGTACAACACAGCCCTAACATAACTCCCCTGACAAACAAGATATTTTTGAAACAGTCACGGTATTGTTAAAAGGCACACATCTTAAATAGTTTGATAGCTGGTGATCGTAGATTAACCTGCACGAACACCAGGGAAAGTTTATTCTCCAAGATGCTGGGAGAGATGACAAAGGAAAAACTAGCCAGTAGCGGACTCACTCCACACCAGAATCACGATCCACAAGAGGAAGTGTGTCTCATGGCACTTTTTTAAAACTGTTACAGGCTTTTGTTGTGGTCGTGCTCATAATGTGCCAATCCGGAACAAAGGTTGACACACATGAGGTAATAAAAGTGAAAACCATTATTACTATCATCAGAATCAAAACTTTCAATGACTAAAGTCTTCTGCTGCTCAAGGAATGGGAATCATAGTTTGTGCCACCTATAAAGTCATGGATTTAACTGGTCAAACTCACGATTCAAATCATGTCTCCCAGAAGTGTAACATTCCATGATTTTCGAAAACAAAATTAGGTTACCATGATCTATCGCCTGACCCAGCAGTATTCACACTTTTTCAAACATGGCGGTTTAACTGCGATAGTTTACTCAAGTCTCTCCCATATAATGACTAAACATGGAGAAGAAAGGCCACAAACCAATATTGGAGCTGAAGAGTGGGTACCATGACAGACTGATCGAGTGAGGGCAAGTTGATGGCGAAGACGTTCAGTGTGCAAGTTGTGAATAAACTCTACGATCTCTCTCTGTAGAGGTGGATCGTCGATCCACCGACAGCCGAGGATATACTCTGCAAAACCGGTCTGGTCCGATTCCAATGACGATGCAATTTCCGAGGCGGCCAGCAGTGGCGGAAGAATACGGGCTGAGGAGAGGGCGGGGCAGTGGGAGATAAAGTGTACTATATCTTCTGGTCCAGAATGGCAGAGCCTACAGGTAGGAGCTGAGACTCTGTGCTGGAATCTGCAGGTATCAGACTCGAGACCATGGCAGTTTACAAGTAGCCGGATCCTGGTGATGTTGCGCTTGGTCACACGTGGGAAACCGCGACAGACGGATAGATGCGGAATGGTCCTTCCCAGTTTCACCTCCGTGCATTGTGAGAGGGGGATGTGGTCGCATTCAGTCATGAAATCTGCGTACTGAGAGGCTAGTAGTAATCGCTTCACTGTCCTCTTCCACCCACCCTGGCTCCATTGGCCATGAAGGATGACGTTGATAGGGGGGAGTCCATGGTGGACCAGAGTATTCTGGATAGCAGGGATCAACCCAATTGATAATGGCCGTTTCCGAAGTAGCTGGAGGGGTAGCGAGTCAGGGGGTAGAAACGTGAATGAGTGGATAAAGTTCAGCTGTCTCTGGTGGATGAAGGCATTGATACTGAGGGCTCCAGTGATGTGCAGAGGGGCCTTAGAGTTGCAGCGGACTGGGAGCTAGATCAAGGATCGTGTACGTCGGGTAAGTGCGCATGCGCGGCTTCGTTACGCGCTTCTTTTTTCACATGTGCTACCCCTGCGCATGCGTCATGATAACGCACTTCTACACGTACACACGTACGTACGTTGCTCGTGCAGATGTGCTCGCTCCCGCTCCCCCAAAATGCCATGCATTCGCCTACTAGTAATGCACTTTTGCAGAAGAAGTCTGTGCTTGACTTTCATTGCAGTCACTGCCATCTCGACTGTCACATTTGCCGTCTTGGTTGCCGGCCGATCATGCGCGGATCGCGGAATCCGACGTGGGGTGTCAGCTCGTATGGGTCCTCTATTTCCATAGAGAAGTCGATTCCGCGTATCGTACAGCATGACTTGCACGCTATGTTGTGCCCTCAACCGTTCCCGTTTTATAGGGCCGTTTACGTCGGCCAGGTTACGCGGTAAACGGCCCTATAAAACGGCCGGGATGGAATCACCATGACCCATGACTTGCGAAACCTGGATTGGAGTACGCTACTAGTCACGCCGTCAAGAGAGGGGCCGTGCCGCGTCGATAGCTCGACGCCGCTAGGGAGAGGCGTTGGCTATAGCGCATATAGGTGCGGGCGTCGCTGTAAACAGTTCTGGTTGCCAAGTCGAGTGCCAAGCGAAATTTCGCCTTGGCTAGCTATAAATCGCGCTCGCGTCTCCCGCAGATTATATCTATAGCAAAATGACTTCAGTTAGAATCGTACTGCTGTTGCTTGCGAGTGCTGTTGAAATATCACCCCAGTGCACACCTGTTTGTGAGTCATATCATTTCTCGACCTTCCCTACAGTGATCGAAGACGGCATCACGCACTCCTTCGATCTATCTACAAATGGTTCTTGGCTTCAACCCTTGAACAGTGAAATACACAATATGTCTTTATTCACCTTGGGTTGCGAGGGGATTGCTGAGAGCATCTGCAGACTGTACATTGAGGGTAATGTTGATGGCAATTTCACAGGAAATTTCACTTGCAATGAACTACACAGCGTAAGGGGAGAAAAAGTTATATTGGCGCTGGAAATGGAGTCACAGGAGAATGGAAGCTACTCTTGCTTGATGCTCATAGAATCTTTTGTGTTTGAATCAAGTAAGTTACTGGCTAGCCATTAAAAGTTTCATTTGTTAGCTTTATCACTTTCTTTACAGCATCCAACGTGAGTCACCTTAGCGTGAGACGTGCATTTGGGAATACTTGCATTGTTGTAATAGAGGGCTGCTTTCCACCTTGCTGTGGTAGTACAGGAACTATAACTCGTGTTACATTTGGGCAATTTCGATACTGGCCGGACGGAATAGAACAATGCTACAAAATTAATATAAGCATGGCAGAAGGTGATGCTATCGCTATATACGACGACAATTTACTACCTTCTGTGACGGTTAGGGTGACAGGTGAGCAAAATTCTCACATAAATCTCTCACTGATGAATAGTGATTTGGATAATCTTCAATATTGCTTCAAAACATGCACCAAAACAATTGACATTGGTCGTGACCTTACTACACTAAATTATACCAAAGGTTGTTTCAGTGTCAATGTCACACTAGTATTCCCGAAACCCATGGATCTTCAAACGATGCTGACATCATACAGACCTTATTTCACATACTGCATGGAAAAGATCTCAGACAATGAAATGCATATAGAATGTGTTGGTTTCAATCCAGAAGACAAAAACTTCCATGAAAAAATAGTTCTTGAAATCTCTCATAGTGGTGATTGTGAAGCAGATTACAGTTTGAAGTTTGGAACATCTGAAACAGGTTGGTACGATTTCTATTTAGCTGCTCCAAATGCTATGCAAATTCTCTTACAGTGCCCTGTATGGACAAGAGATGTCAGAAAGTAGAGTCATTTAATATAAAGCTCTGTCTGACATTGTGCATTGATAATGTTGCAGTCAACGATGATGCTGTGCCCTTGTGTGTAAGTTAATGCTTATTTTTTGTTTCATAAATCTGACAGAAGCAGCAGTAGCAAACTTAAAATCTGTTCAGGTAATTGGAAGTTGCAGCTGCAGCAGTATTAACCAAATTTGTGTGCCATTAGAATGAGCGTGCCAAATTACACCAGGCTGTACAGAGCAGCACATTGCCCTTGTAGCTACGACATCTAACAATAGCATATTCACTGGATCTTTTAATGCAGGAGAATGTTGCCAAATATTCTCTTCAGAGTTCATTCCTTACCAGCGACAATGTAACGGTTGTTCTGGAAGTTCTAGAAGCTCTGGCTAATGTATCTGGACCAAAGCATATAGCTGCAGTAAATAGCATCATGAATGAGCTTCTTAGTGAGCTACAAAAGGAACAAAACATTCATCTTATCTCCGAGGAGACTGGAGACGTAAGCTTCAGTCATTACCCTGTCAGTTAGGTCATAATTATCACAATGTGCAATACCATACCCAACAGGCATTGCTGAATGCTCTTGACAATGTACTCAGAGATTCCATTGCTAATAATTCCGCTGCTAAAGTAAGGACCACTAGCAAAAATGACAGACACAATGTATATAATACTTTCTGCCACCTATGTTAGGTTGAATTTGCACCTTTCCTGCTTGATAACCTGGAAACAGTTGTGAGGGTTGTTGCAATGGCCCTAAAACAGGAGGTTTTTTCATCAAGTTATGAGTACACGGGAAAGAATGCAATTGGTAAGTTTAAAATCTAATACTGAAACCGTCACTCTAAACTTGGACCTAAAGTATGCACTAAGCCCACACCACCAATGTGTAGCTGTCTAGTCGTAGTCTTCTATGACAACCACTAACTGACACACCTCTGACTAATATGGAAAAAGTGGGCACCAGACCTCCCGTGTAGTCTATGGGAGGGCTACCAAGTGCATGGGATTATTGGCAAGTGCTCAAATGTCTTTTCCCTTATGATGCTTGATCATTCATGTCAAAGGCATGCCTACTGTAAACTGGTCCAATAGCTAGACTACAGGACAGATTTGGCACTTAACAAAGTCACTGCCAGTAAAAATCCCTATAATTTGAGTGTGTTGTTCTAAAACTGATTGTTTTACTTGTCCAGTGTACGCATCCATTTCACTGATCAGTAATGAAGGGGACCACCTTTTCCCAAACCCAGGTTCGATTTTAGGTGAATTTAGCTTGGATGCTGCTTATAAATAGAAGTATGCATGAACTTTTACAGTGTTTTATAAATTCTCAGTGACTGTCAAATTGCAGGGGAAAATGTTGGCATGAGTGCTGTGAGAATGAAGATACCTATGGAACTCTTATGCACATCGGCACTAGATGAGGAACAGTCAGGTATTGATAGAGCAGTATATTATTTGTGTTAGAACACAATGGTTTTCCTCAGATTGTGAAGCTGTGGTTGGGTCCGTCATTACTAAAAACCTTCCACAGTTCTTGGATGAGTTTCGCTCTCCGTGAGCTAGTCAAAATTTTGATATTATCACACACATACATTCTTCATACTCACTACAGGAATGAAAAGTTTGTAAACAGCCTTCTTTTGTCTACGCTGATTGATTCAAGTGTAGACTTTAGGCACCGTATAATGCAGGAACCTATTGCCATCTCTTTTACACCAACACCACTGGTATGTTTTATTGCATGAAGGAAATGTGTGAGCTTTTCATTGATTACAGAATTCAAATTTCTCAAACGAAACTTGTGTTTTCTGGGATCCAGTCAAAAAGTAAATTGCTACACATACTCAAGATTCTTGTGGTGTCCATAACATGTATGCATGTCAACAATGCAGAAAATGGTCATCAGAAGGGGTATACACATCTGGCAGTGCTCAACAAAACGGAGAGACAATATGCATAACCACTCACCTAACTAGTTTTGCAGTCCTGGTCAATCCAAAGGTAATCATTCACTTCCTGTCCATGTGTCAAATTCGTCTTTATCCATTCTTTCCAAGTCTTCTGAAACTGCGGTTGAAATCAAGGCACTAGGAATAGTGAGCTACATTGGGTGTGCTATTTCTTTAGCTTGTCTCTTAGCATCCCTGCTGATATTCTTGGCTCTTGGGTAAGCGAACCATTCTGTTAAATGTTAATTTTATGATCATTATTAATGCACAGAAAAAAACTGAACAAAGGAGTTCTCCTATATATTCACATAAATTTCAGTATATCACTGTCCTTGGCTCTAACAGTGTTTGTTGTTGGAATTGAATCTGCAACATCTCATCATGTGAGTAGCTAAAGAGTATATCATCGGTTATTACATTGTATTTCTTCTGTCCAGTGGATGTGTACAGCGATCGCAGCACTGCTGCACTACCTGTTTCTCTCTGTGTTTTGTTGGATGTTGGCAGAGGGCATTATGCTGTATATGTTGGTGGTTAGAGTGTTTGGCAGTGTAGCTGAAAAGTGGCACTACCTCCTACTGCTTGGTTGGGGTGAGACTAGTGTAGTCAAAACCAGAGCTTGTCAGTCTGCCAAGTATTGGGTTGACTTTATGTCTCTGTTTATTAAGCAATTGACTCGATTCATCTGATGCAGGTTTGCCTCTGCCAGTAGTTGCCATATCTCTAGGCATTCGATACGACGACTATGGTACTGAAACATAGTAAGCGGTCAAGAAATATTGATATAGTATAACAGCTCATGCTCATACTTTCAGTTGCTGGCTATCAAATTCAAAAGGAACTTTTTGGGCATTCCTTGGACCTATAATTCTCATTATTGGGGTATTTACATGAATGTGCTCAAGGTTCATTCTCTCGTTATGTCTGTTGCCAGATCAACTGCGTCATCTTAGTTGTGACTGTGGGAAGTATGATTCGAAGTAGAAGAAAATTTCTTGGCAACAAAGACAGCAAGAACTGGAGACTCGCAATGTAAATTAATGCACTGCATTTGTTACATATCATAATTGTACACATCCTTTAGAACTGCAGTGAAAAGTACATTCATCCTACTGCCTCTACTGGGGTTAGCATGGATAATCGGCCCCTTTACCTTGTTGAATAACACTGGGATGCTCTCTTGGATATTTGCAATCTTAAACTCATTGCAGGTAAGGTGAATTCTTGATGGTTATACCCTATGTATAAAGGTGGTTCACCAAAATCACCCACAGCGGCCTAGCTATGCACCAAGTTAATGGATTTGCAGCTAATGTTTTATTGTCTCTTTAACTAGGGGGTTTTCTTCTTCATTCTTCATGTTCTACGTAATGATAAGGTTAGTTATTTTGGCCAAATTACAATTATCTTTTGTAAATTATCATGCCATAGACCTTCTAGACCAGAATGTTATTTCTGTATAGGTGTATGACACCATTAAGAAGTGTCTGAGATGTATCCCTGCAACTGTAATGGAGAAGCCATACAATCTCAGAGGATTGTCTTCTAACATTACGGTATGTCCCTTAAGTCAGCTTTGTTGAGTTGGTGATTTAAACATCATGCAGCTTGCATCTGCTGAGTCGGTGGCGACTGCAAGTACTAGTGAAGGAATTAGTCAGTTGGGTAAGCATAATTATTTTATAATAATGGATAAAGGCTCCAAGCTACAATTAATTCAGATTGTGAGAGGGTTGCAAGTCTACCATTCAATATCAGGATATACCAGAGAAAGACTAGTGAAGGAAGTGCAACATCATTAGGTCATCCGACAATTTCAGTATTCGATAACTGATGCTCAAATTACAGGTTTAATTTAGTACCTGCACTTAGTGATCTGTCAATGAATTATGTTGCACACTATATTTAACCCTCGGCGCGCATGCGCAGCGAGGGTTACAGTAGTCGTTCTGTGTGTGTCCGCGACTATTCTCGCACTACAGGCTACGAGGTGACTTATGAGCGATACCAACAGCTTTAGCGGTAAATGGGCTATAAAATTAAAATGGCGAGAGCGACAAACTGACACGGTCGCGCGCGCGCGCGGCGGACAGGCCCAACCTATCAATAAGCGGTGCGCATGCGTGCGCGCATGCGCAGCAGGGGTTGGTGGTTTAGTCGTTCTTCTGTACGTGTGTGTGTCCGCGACTATTCTCGCACTACAGGCTACGAGGCGGCTTATGAGCGATACCAACAGCTTTAGCGGTACATGGGCTATAAAATGATTTTGCTGAAACGATTGCGTTCGAGAGCGACAAACTGACACGGTAGCGTTGCTTGGCCCAACCCATCAATAAGCGGTGCGCATGCGTGCATTAGACGCGGCTCACCTCGACGGCTCTAGCTAGCTAGCTAGCTCTGTGTGTGTTTATATGTAACATTTGCGCTTGCGCACAATTTGAATTTTCAGAGCATGGGGAGCAAGCGTATATACGTCCGCTTACAGTGACGATATGCGGTGGAGGATGGTCTGGCAGAGTCAAGCGTTGGGTCTAAAATTCTCAGAAATAGCTGCTAACCTTGGTGTAGATGCCGTGACAGTCTGGAGAGTTGTCAAGCTTTTTAGACAAACTGGTGTTGTGCAGAAGAAAGCATATCCCTGCAGACCCTCTTACAAAATCACCCCTGCTGTGCAATTTTCAGTTGCACTCACAGTCTTGAGGAGGCCAGGAGTCTACCTTGGAGAGCTTCAAAAGGAAATTGCTGAAGAATACGGTGAAGAGCTAAGCCTGTCAGCCATCTGCAGATTCTTCCACAAGAATGGATTTACACGACAAAAATTAAAAATAGCAGCTAAACAGAGAGATCCTCTGCTTCGTTCACAGTTTGTGTTGGATGTATCTCTCTACACTCCAGAAATGTTAAATTCCTTGATGAAACTGGAAGTAATAGGCGTGATTGCATTCGAAGGTATGGATACAGTCTGCGTGGAAAACCTTTAGTCTCTCAAAGGCTTCTGGTTAGGGGAAAGAGAATCAATTGTATAGCTGTCCATGGAAGGGTTACTTGACTGTAAAACCATAGCATGCACTGTTGATGGCGACAAGTTCTACTACTTCATTCAGGCCTCTTTGCTGCCTCATTTGGCGGCTATAATCCACACAGCATAGTTGTTATGGGCAACTGTTCCATTCACCATGTGCCCGGAGTTGTGGAAATGATTCAGGAAGTCGGAGCACTTGTTCAATTCTTACCTCCCTACTCTCCGGATTACAATCCGATTGAATAGGCCTTTTCAAAGGTGAAAACAAACCTAAAAGCTATGGAGTTAGAAGCAGAGAGCTCAAAGACACAGAAAACCTGGTACTGGCATCCTTTTCAGCTATTACACAAGAAGATTGTCAACAGTGGATAGCGAATGCAGGAATATATAACACACAGCAGTAGGCAATGCATTTACTCATTACACCAATCTATTTAAAACAATCTCTTTCTGTGTAAGATACTCCTCGTCACTTAGAATACCTTCCTCTTTCAGCCAGCACAACTGTTCAAGATTTGTCATCCGGTCTTGTTCGCTGATTGGGTCTGTGTAGAATTCGATGATGGACCCTGTGGAGCCTGTGCTGGTGGTGTTGACAATGCTTTCGCAAAAGCTGTTGCTGCAGTACAAGTAACATCTGAAAAAGCTTCTCTTTCCGGGTGCCGCTGGATGCCGCCGACTATCATTGGGACATTAGGAGGGCTGTCCATATCATAATGCGTACCTGCAGCAACCATCCGGGCCCCAGAGTCGCAGTTGTGGGCCAGAAAAGTTATCCTTGTGCTTTTTCTTTAGTTTCTGGAAAATCTCATCAACTTCTTCCTCCCTGTCAGCGCGTTTAGAACTGTGGGATTCACTTTTAGCTCGTCCAACTACACTTTGCTCTTCTTGATGCTTTCCATCACACCACAATGATATACACTCCTTTCCATCATAATGAATATACATAGCCTCTAAGTCCTGAGGAGTCACCAGCCATTTTTAGAGTGGCTCCTGCCTTCAAAATATCCAACACTAAATTCCTCTTCTTCTGGGACTAACTCATGCCACAAAGCCAATCGCAACGCTGCACTTGGTTCGCTTCACAGGGTCACATACTTTCACTTTATTGAATCCTGCGTTGTGAAAGGAGATCTAATAAAAGCGCACCAACAAGAAATGCCCCTGATATCGTACCTGGACCGCAGACGTAGTGCCTGTTAAATAAGTATTAGGCTTTGGTAAGACCTGTACACCAACTCTTGCTCCTCCGACGTTGAAAATGTTCGTCATCTCCAAGATATATCACCAATATCTCATGCACAGATCCATGCGCATGCGCAATTTCGGCGTACGACGCAATCTTGGTTTCGCTGTACCTTGAAGCACAAGAAGCCACAGCGAAGGGTGTGTATCGACTCCCGCATGCTATCTACTACTACTGTAGCTAGCCAGTGTCAGACTCTCCGCAAGCTACTAGTGGGAGACCGCGAGTAAACGCCAATAGCCCGGCGCCCATCCATTAGCGGTACCGCGCATGCGTAGTTCGGTTAGGGTTAACTTGTAGAATTTGCCCCATAAAGACACAGTTAGGTTGAGAGGAACCCATATAGTATAGCCTATTATGGTGTTACCCTGTGACGTAGCTATAGCCTAGTACCTAGATTGTAGTCAAGAGGAAAGGGCTAGGGTCAGGGCTCGGTACTAGGCTACCTTGGTGCAAAATAATACTCAGGTGGCAACCATAACACTTTGCCCATTGGCCACACACCAGAGCAACGGGTGGAGAGCACATACAGATGTCTTGCCTCCCAGACACACTAACTCACCCCTTTCCCCAGTGACACGCTGGACACAATCTGAGACTGGGGACTGCTGAACGCTGGATTATGGCCGTATAACCTAACTGAACTCTTCTTAGCTATCAAGCATTGCGTTTGACATGGTTAAGCAATTTAACATTGCTCCTAATGCTACTACGTACATGCTCACACTCCCACAAAACATGCGTGACACTTCCACATTTATCATCACACAACATGCACTCTTTCGTCCCTTCCCTCCAACCGGAATTTTAATATCAATCTATACCCAGACACACTTGCTCCATGCTGCCCTTCAAGAAGCAATCACTCTACCTTGTCAAGACCTGAGGATGAACAACTTATCTTACTCCAACACTTCCTCTATCTACCTCTCCGTGGCTAAAAATTCCTGTATATTTGGATACCTATTACCGGGCTAACTTATACTACCACTTCAACTTATTGTTATCCCAATACCCTTGTAACGTATCAAGACTATATCCCCAGTAACTGTTTCATTACATTTCCTAGACAAAACACCCTATTATATGCTTTGTCCCGCCAAGTTAACATAACGGACTCAAACATTAATTTTAAGTGCTAAACCCTCACACACTAAACTACGGGACAGACCAAAAAAGGGCAACAATTCAAGAGTAATGCAGGCACAGTGGTAGCTAACTAGATCTTAAGATGCTGGGAGACTCACACATCATCCTTACAACCGTTATTCAACAACAAAAACTAGCTTCAGACAACTATTTTTATATCATTGTCCATTATCATGCACGTTTGCAGGAGCACAGAATTTTTGACCACACTCAAACTGCCTGTATTTTGCGATTTTTATATGTGGATGGCATGCATAACCCAGGTGGTAAGATAATGAATTTCAGCACCCGATGTCGTTATTTCGAATTCTACCTATGCCTATTTTAATTTTTGTTTTTGCATTGCATGTCAGTGACGAAAATGGACCAAGATAAAACACACAATAATGAATTCGTTTAGATCACACAATTATTATACCTGTATAAAAATTCTTATACGGTATGAAGCTTGGTTTATGAACAGATTTTGTACATGGCCTCATACCCGAGCCAATCGCACAATCCTTATAATAGTTGCCTGGGTGAAGTATGAAACTATTTTTTTGCAGAAGCAGCTTGAAAAAAGGTGACAACCAATGATGTTGTACTATTACCAACAGAGTGAAAATTGTATATATATAGAGTTTGAGAGAGGCACATCAGGTAACAAAGGGATTGGTTGATTGGCTCAGAAGTGTCAGTGTGCTCACAATCTGTACATAGACTATGGTATTGTGTCTCTTAAAACTCTGTATACTCTAGATCCCTGCATGCTTTTGACTGTGCCCTGTTGCAAAACCACTGGCAGAAGGGTGGGGGGTAACGGCTACAGGACTGGCCACTCCACTGACGCATCATGCTTTTTTCTGGTAAATTCATGGAATAAAACAAAAAATGAGAAATATTTTACAGAGTTAAGAGCTAATGCATAAGTGTTTTCTCGTTCATCCTACATAAAATAGTCTGGTATACGGC